ACAGCGTAACGCACGTGAAGAGGCAAAAGGGGCCCCACGAGTGCATCGCGAGGACCATGTTCGGCTGTGCTCGTGACAAGGCAAAGTTGACTAGGTACTGCCAGGCAATACAAATAGCCATACAAGTGGAGCGGATCTTGGTTGGAAAGGCTTCCGCGTTGATCATGTACGGCGCAACGGCCCATGAGAAACTGTAGCCGACGGCGAAAATGTAGATGAAAACCACGGCTACCAAGCCGCCGGCCTTGGATATCTCTCCGGACTTGTCGGACACTGCAAGGAAGACGGTGATGTAGGTGAGGGACACTAGAATGAGACCTGAGCCGACGAAGAGTCCGGTTCGGCGACCGAGTCTGTCGATGATAAAGAGGCAGTATAGAAGAACCGAGAAGAATTTGACCATGCCGTAAATGCCAGCAAAGAGGTAGTTGAAGGAGTTCGAGGTGATGCCGATAGACTCTAAGATCTAGATACGGCTGTCAGAAAAGCTATATAGAACAGTATTCATGTTTTGGGATAGGACATGAACTTACGGATGTCATGTAGTATGTCAAGGTATTGCCGCCAGAAAATTGAAACCCGATCTGCATCATCATGACCAGAGCAAGACGCTTTCGAACATTCGAAGACGCCATTTCCTTGAGGAAGCCCTTGAAGCCAGGAGCAAGAGCAAGTTCGTGTTCGAGTCCAGCACGGATGTCGTACAACTCCTGACGAAGGTACGCGTGATCTCTAGGAAGAGATCTCAAGTTCTCGAGTGCTGCCTCAGCGGCCTCCGACTTACCCTTGCTCAACAGCCATCTCGGCGACTCAGGCACGAAGAAAAGCCCGACGATGAGAATGATGCCGGGCAAGGCCTGAACACCCATGGGAACTTGCCATTGTGCATTGGAGCCGCCGAGGTTAAGCAGCGCGCCGTAGTTGATCCAGTACGCGAGGCCGACAGAGAGCATCGTGTTGGCGTTGTATGATGCGGTCAACCCGCCCCGAATAGCGCTAGGTGCGATCTCGGCCATGTAGTTCGTGCCGACGACGCTTGCTGCTCCGGATCCTGCCCCTGACAGGAACCGGCCGACGAGAAGCTCAGCTCTGCCTCCGGCAACCCCCGGGTTGGCGCTCATCAGTATGGCCGACACGGAGTAGACGAAGGCAGACAGGCCAAGAGACCATTTCCTCCCCAGCTTGTCGTTGATGGGGGCGATGATGAGAGATCCGACGCAGGAGCCGAGGATCAGCATGGAGGTGATCCAAGCCTTCCAATCAGCGAGGGACTCTTCCGACATGCCGCTCAGCTCGAAGTGCTTCTTGAAGGGGGAGAAGGCGAGGACGCCCGATATGTTGGCCGTGTTGAAGCCTGTTGGTGACAGCAACGGTTAGTACGCCAATGCTTGGCATGCGGCTGGTTAAAGCTTGTCTACGCACCATGGGCTGAGCCGGAGAAGGACAGGATGATTGCATAGCAGAGTATCTTCCACGAAATCGCCTCTTTGGGGGTTTGCTCGTAAATCTTCTTGTCGATGATGGCCATTGCAAAGGTTTAGCGAGAGTCCTCTGAAGAGTTGAAACTTCTCCAGACCTCAGAGAAAGATGGAAAGGGTTGGGCTCGGATTTGAACCATGGCATGGGAGGCGGGAAGACTGGGTTCCCCCTCTAGGTCGTGCCATGGGGACTCCGCAAATTCCTAAGTGGAGATCGAGCCACTTGAACCTCTGAGGCATCCCAAAACTGGATCTAGAGCCGTCTGACCCGAGTTCAAGATGGCGTTGCTCGTGGTGGCGTGGACTTACACATGCATGGCCTGTTGAAAGAGCACCAAGCAAGATAGTTTGTCCCCCATTTTCCATCCTACAAAAATGCCGCTGAAACTCGAGAATCATGAAAAGAACCTCTCAGTCAGGGTTCATGTTGGCAACAGGTTGTGTAAGTTGAGACTGGCTGGAGAAGTATTGCGGGAATGATCCGTCGCTGGCGGTGACCGTGCTTACACCCCATGGGCAACGCGTTCCTAGTACGGGGTAGACCCGCAGTCGTTCATTGTTCAAACAATAAGCTTAGCGGGATTGGATGGACTTCTCCGGGTCTCCTTCTGTATTCGGATCATTCCAGGTGCTGGCGTTGGTTCCGGTCGCCGGAGTAGTCCGTTGGGCCGGATGGCTCCGTCTAAACATCCCGGATTTTGGACGTCGACTGAGGCTCAACGCTCACGGACCGATTAGGATCTGACGATTAAAACTGCAATGCCATAAAGTCTAGGAATCATGAAAACAACAAGCTCTGGGGATATGACGGGCACAAGCATCGGTCCGTTGTCCGTCTTGCATTCCACCTATCTCAATGATTGTGGGGCCACCCCGGCTTGAATGCCGTAGCAGATGTCGTATAAAACATTCGATGCCCTGCATCTATAACGACTTTTTCCCTCTATTGATTTATTTCCAATCAATCACTCTGTTGGAGGTCGAGAGTAGGTAGGGTTGATGTGGGTCACGATGCTCCCCGTGGCATGGGGCTTTGACATTTAGCAAGACAAGCACCAGCATAGCGACGCTTTCTCTTCGAGTACCTACTTTCTCATAAATCTGCAAAAATGATTCAATGATACATCTTTGAGATGGCAGGGCTCTCTTATTATTGACCCTCACAACAACAAACCGACCTGGTCATTCTAGCCACGATTCTTCAGCATTGCTAATGTAACATCCTTGTCGAAGGCGTATTTATGGTCTGCACTTGTGTTCTCCGAATTCTCGATGCGAAGGCCATTGAACGTCATTGATGCCGACTTGGCGTCAAGGTTGTTCGTGTGCTCGTCCCCAAGCCTAGTACCCATTCCACCGCTCACTGACACATCGGTGAAGGTATGGCCTTCTGCCCTTGCCCTGTTCAGCAAGGCATCGCGTAGAAGCTGATCATGGTTTCCGAGAACTTCCAAAAGCTGTTGCATCGCCTGTGACTTGAAATGGCCCGCCTCCTCTGCACACAAGGAATTGTGTTGAGGCTGGACCGATGGGAATAGTTTGACAAGGGTATCAACAGCTTCGCAGATTGAGTCGATGAGGCTGTTGAAGTCGGTCTTGCGGTATAGCGCCCATCGCGTTTGACGGCCCGTCTCCTGAACCTTTCTGCGTCTCTTGATGGCAATTGTACGCATGCCATCGATAAGTCCTTTCAAAGGCTTGTCGGATTTCTCAAGTTCCTGAGTTGCATCTAGGACCTCCAAATCCTGTTTCTTGTCCTCGTCATCCAGGTTCAATCCCCTGAACTGCTCGGACTTTCTCCTGGCAGTCTCAAAAGCATCCTGGATTGTCTGGAGCCACATTTTAGCCTTCAAGAGTTCGCTCTCTTTCCAGGAACCCTGTTGAAATCTGGATGATACATCAGCATTCTCGTCCAGAACGCCCATAGCCTCCCCCCATCGCGTGAACTCCATTTTCGCAGCTTGAAGTTTGGCAACGCATAAGGCGAAATCCTGATGGGAGGCTCTTCCAAGCTGGACATACTGAAAACAATCCAGGGATGACTTGAAAAAGCCGGGAATGGCCAGCAGGAAAGCAAGATAAGTCATGGTGAAAACGACAGATTTCGAAGCAATTGCGATCCAATTCAGAAACTAAGTGTGAAGGAGGACCTTTTAATCAATACTGAAGAGGCGAGCTCTGTGTCATTTCAAGACCCAAAGTCTTCTCAAGTTCTGCCGCCGCTCTTGGGTCTGTACACACCCGCAGTTACGCCAAGGCGATCGGCCTCGGGCATCAGTCAATGTGCAGAAAACGCCCCAACAACTGCCTCAACGGAAATGAGATATTCATGCAGACATTGCCTCAAAATCCCGTCAGCTTCAAATTTCTGCTTGCGCTTTGCCGACAGGTACAACCGCTCATGCGCAATTCAAGCAGGCTGGGATGGATGATCTCCAATGAATTGGGTCTTTGCTCTAGCCCTTGGGTTGCGCCCAATGACTAGACCTTGACTCTCAGCCAATAATGCAGCAAATGTTGAAACAATCTTGATAAGCGACACGAGCGCCGACCACGATACGACTTCCGGTAGGAATGGCTGCTCTAGTCATCGCCAAATCTCAACACTGGCTACGTCTGAAACGTATGGCAGAGCAAGATGGCACACCTGCGCCGGCAAACCGTATTTCTTGCCACATGTACGTCCGCAGATTTGGCGAAGATTATTGGATAATGAAAGGTGGCTAGAGAAAGTTTCTCTTGCCAAACGACTGCAAAACTTGCGATCGCGTCGACAATTTGGACAACCTGTCGCGTCGTGTTTTCGGTCAACAGGACCAGAAATAAGTCGTGGTTAATCGAGTTGGACTGCCGTGACTGTATATTTCCGGGCGACGGTCTGGAGATGAAAAGCAATGACCAAGGCTAGACCTGGGCTATGATCTATTTAGTAATTGCGATGGCAACCTTCATCGGTTCGTTGGGCTTCGCCGCCACCCATCAGTAGCATCTGTTCATCAACCCAGAAAGTGGTGGTCAACTGCTTCGTTCGAGCATGTGCCATGAGCGGAGCCACCCCGCTGGCCGAAAGTGCCAAGAAATGGACCCTGATTGTACGCCGGACAATATTTCCGCTGAAGAACTTCTCCTGATTCCTTGGCTGAAGAAATGCCCTGGCTCCGTCAGCTCGGACTGCGCTATGGGACGAAATGGAGCTTGGACTTGCCTAATCAGGCATCTCGGCGCCGTAACCCACAAACTAACTTCAGCATCACCCCACGAAACCTCGGGAAAGGCCATGATGAAAAGGCGAGGTATTGTGTATTTAAGGAATTGAGGTTCATCTGGTCATGTTGCTTCTCCTAATATGTTGTTATCGTCATCGAATTCAGGTATCATCGATTCATCCTCCGTCGGTTCTCAACGCTCAGCACAATGACCGACATCAACTACTATCAGCGCCTCACAGAGGTGTACACCTTAGACAACAAACCATTGCTCATAGCTTCCGCCGTCAGTTATGTCGTCGGCTACCTCCAGTACATGTACGTCATCCGCCTCACTCTTCGTGAAGGCAAGGGTCCAATGCCTTTCTGGATGCACTCTTTCTACCTCGCCCACGACTCCACATGGTCCTACATTCTCGGCAAAGCAGCAATCCAGCACAACGAACATTGGTTTCTCAGAGGAACATCGACGGCACTGTCCGTGTGGACGACGCTGGAGATGTGGACTATCCACAGGGCCGTTACCAAGGAACGCGAAGCCAATTTCGCTTCGGTGCTCGGGAGTAATCCGAGCGTCTTCTCGGCGGTGGTCTACGCGCTGGCACTCCAGCTTGGCATGTACACGGTCGTGCTGCTGGGCATCGCGTTTATGGGCGAGGGCTGCGTGATGCAGTGGTTCTGCTTCACCAATGTTCTCATTGTCTTGGGGCCGACCCACCAGTACCTCAGAAACGGATCGAGGCATGGGCTTTCGCTTGGGTTCTGTTTGGTCAATATTATTGGAACCATTTGGACGTTTGCGCCGTTCAGTTTCTTCGTCTTGACGATTCCAGAGGTATTCGACAACACGCTGTATTATGTTGTGGGATGCATTCTCACGGTCTACTCGATTGGGTGCTATTTCGTGGTTTCGCAGTATCCCGCCAAGACGGCGGACATGAGCAAGCCTGGAAAGGGAGCTCCGATTTGGTAAACACACGGCAGGAGTGTGGTCTTGTTAGAAGAATCAGAAGTTCAGTATCAACTCAGTTTGAATAATTTAAAGTAAATATGACAAAGAGTCTTTGACATCCCGACGTGATGAGGGTGAATGGCTTGGCTTGCTGTGAAAGTGAAAGTGAATTCCAATTGATGATTCAGGGGCTTCGGATAGCTTTAGTGGGGCACATGCCTTATATAAGCCAGCCCGGGCCCATGCATGACGCAGCGCGTCCCGCCGAGGGGTTCAGCTGCTCCGACCGCCTCTCACTGCACCCCGCACTAAGCCCAGCTAAGCTCTCCCACGCGGCGCACAACCACTACTGCAACCACGACCCGACCTCTTTGGACGACCTCGGCCGATCTACTTACGCGACGCATTCCAACCTCGACTCTTCTCCCGCACATCGCGCCTCTCGAGGCCGTCGAGTCCTTCCCTCCCAATGCCGCCCATACCGCGAACCACGCCCCTCCCCCGCGTCATCACCTACTACCAGACACACCACACCCCCGAGGGCAAGCCGATCTCCATCCTCCCTCTCATCACGCAGCCCGACATTAGCGTAACCCACGTGATCCTCGCCGCGATACACATCAACGACGACCCGCAAGCCCTCACCCTCAACGACCACCGACCCGACGACCCGCGCTTCCTGACGCTATGGGCCGAGCTGCGCGTACTGCAGGCGAGCGGGGTGAAGGTGCTGGGCATGCTTGGAGGCGCTGCTCGAGGCTCGTATGAGAGGCTCGACGGCGACGACGAGGCCAAGTTTGAGAAGTACTACATCCCGCTGCGCGACATGGTGCGGAAACACGCTCTCGACGGCATCGATTTGGATGTCGAGGAGGAGATGAGCTTGGGCGGTGTGATTCGCCTGATTGACCGGATACGGCAAGACTTTGGGAAGGACTTCATCATCACGATGGCGCCCGTGGCTATGGCGCTGCTCGACCCGTTCAAGAACCTGAGCGGCTTCGACTACGAGGCACTCGAGGTCATGCGCGGGAAGGAGATCGCGTGGTACAATGCCCAGTTCTACTGCGGCTGGGGCGACTGCAGCAACCCCGTCATGTACGAGATGCTGCTGGCGAAGGGTTGGGCGCCAGAGAAGATCGTCATCGGCCTGGTAACAAATCCGGAGAATGGCGGCGGCTGGGTGCCTTGGGAGATGCTGGGGTCCGTACTCCTTCTGCTCCGAGGCCGTTATGAGCGGTTCGGAGGTGTTATGGGCTGGGAGTACTTCAACAGCTTGCCCGGCGGCAGGGAGAAGCCATGGGAATGGGCACAGTGGATGACAACGATGCTGCGATCAGAAAAGGCTTCATCATGGCCGGCACATGGAGTTTTGCCGGTGGAAACAAGTGAGATTGCCAAGGTGGTCAAGAAGGAGCTCGTCGATGAGGTCGACCCCGATGGACCCAACAGCAAGGATGCGCCGCTGCCAGCGAGCTTTGACTACTATTCAGACACCAACCTCGACGATGATTGAGCGGATCGAAGACAGGCATGGTAAGAAATCAATCTCGGATCCTTGGGCAGGGCGAAAAGTTTGGAGTACAATGCACTCGCAGGGAAAGGCATGACCTATTGACGAATCGAGAATCACGCGAAGACGATTGGGTTTCACGAACTTTTGGGCGTTCAGGTTGTTCCATCCACTTTCAGTTTCAAACTCAATTAGACTTATATAGATGGAAGAAGACGAGCTTGGTCTGTTCAAGCGAACTTTGCTACTCGATTGCCACACAACGAAAACGAACAAACAATTTGTATTCGACTTCGCGACCTTCCCGGAAAAGTTGACTTTAAAAGTGGGGCTTGTACATGTACAAGTCGAAGGTGAGAATATTTTGACCAAACATCGCTGGTCATACTAAAATGGGTGAGCAAAAATGAAAAAAACAATGAGCAGCTTCTGGAGTTATGTAGGGTCACCGAATTTCTCAACTAGCCGAACCCAGGCTTTCACTCAACTCCCACACTAGACCATGTTCACTTGAGCTGCTCCAATTGTTGAGAGGAAGGCAATCTACCTTGCCCATAAAGGCTTGAGCGTTCGAGGAAGGGAGCCGCCTGAATCCCACGCATGCACCTGCCGCACTCAATTCGTCATTTTATGATGCCAGAATTGAAGTTATTCGCAGATGATAGTCGCGCCGACTATTTGCAGCTAGGTTCTTCTAAGCTTTCCATCCTTGCTCATGCGTTTCCCATAACCGTTGTCGCCGCTATTGCTACACTCTGTTGCGTTGACAGCGTCCACCCCGCAGTTTTTAGCCCGAAAAAGGCAAAAAAAGGGGCTTTTTACCGAAAAACCACTAAATCGCCCTAAACTTCGTCTACTAATACCTCTATGCGTACGTAATATGGGTAAATAAAAAATATATTAATTAATAGCCCTTAATTAGGTAATTATAATGATATCTTTTTTATTCTTGCGCATTACGTACGTATAGAGTTATCTAAGTGTGAAGTTAAAGCTAATTTTGAGGGGTTTTTTAAGTAGATAGTTCAATATAATATACTAGGGGTTTCGTTTTTTCTTTTTAGCGTTATATTAAGTATCTACTAACCTAAAAACCCCCTTAAAACCCCTTAAACTTTATATTTAGATAACTCTATATGTATATAATACGTAAGAATAAAAAAGATATTATTATAATCACCTAATTAAGGGCTATTAATTAATATATTTTTATTTACGCGTATTACGTACGTATAGAGTTATTAAAACGTGAAGTTTAGGGGGTTTTAAGGGGTTTCTAAGCTAGCGGAAAATTTTCCTTCTGGGTTAAACTTGGGGGCGGACGCTGTCAACGCAACGGAGTGTATCGCTATCTTTTGCAGGATATTCACATATTATCCCAAAGCGCTGTCTGGGTGAAGTAAATGGCAAGTGCTGCTGGAAGTGAACAAGTCCCGAACTCGTTGTAATGCTCATGGAAACTTGCGATGTGATGCAGGTATCTGATCGCAGCATTCGTGGATATACGATCAATCCCACGCGCCTGGACTTCAGGTGATGCTCACTATTCACTTGCATTGGACAGACCTTGCTCGGAAACTTCTTCGTATTCTTCTATCAAGAAATGTTATTCTGGCACCCGAAGACGTAATGAATCCGTCCTTGAACACGACTCGCGTCGACGATGACCTCATCCCCCTGATCTACTCACCACACCATGTCTCATGTCTCATTTCTCGTCCCAAATGATCAAGGAATCACGCCAGTACACCTATCGCCATACTGCAACAACATGGCCATAATCATAGCTATCTAATCACAACATACCGTAAGCGACATATAGCGGTCCACCAACTTGATCAGAAATCTAGTCTTGGTGGTAGACCCCAAAAGCCCAGCATCCGCCGGTCCATCGGCTTGCAGGTACAGTTGCCGAGAAGCGACGAAGTACTGATGCAGCCTATCACACGCTTCATCCGAGAGAGGGGCCATCGAGAAGGTTTCCAAGGCGCCGCCGGTGACCCCGTCCCGGCGGATGGTCTGCGCAACCTCGGAAAAGTACTTGCTTTGAAGGTCTTCTTCATGATAGTCGATGATGCCGAAGACTCGTGTCTGGTAGTCGATGGCGGCAAAGAGGGCATGCGCGAAGGCGTGGATGCGAGGGATGTCGATGCGGGCCTGTCCGTGGAGACGCAGCGTGCTGCTGATGTTGCTGACTACCGTATCTGTTAGGATGTTTGCGATAGTGTTGTCGTCAGGGTGAGTGAAGCCCTCCGGCAAGGCTAGCTCAAGGGTCTCAATGAAGGTGCTTTTAGACATGACTCTCGTGGACGGTTGGTTGTCTGCGATGTTCAGGTCAGCAACAATTATCCCGGGCATGACAGGATGCGTACATCTTCGATGCTGCTTGTCTTGCTTCTTCGCCTGGGCCTTTTGGATTCCGCCGTATGTCTTGGGCTTCTTGCGTTCCCTAGTGGTCTGAGACCTCCGATGCCCGGGTTTCTTGGTTTCCCTGTTCTTTGGGGTAGGGACATCAGGCTGCGGTTGTGTAATGTTCGGAAGAGCTGCCTCGAGATCGGCCTTCAGATTGAAGAGGGACGCCATGTTTTGTGTCTGAAAGATTGTTCGGTCTTGTTGTTGCAATGAAGAAGTTGAGAGGATGATGGGATGATGGAAGGTCGGAGAGTCCATGGTTTTGTAGAAATAAATGAATCTTTCTCCGACGCGTGGGTCGCGCGATAAGATGGTAAATGTGAGAGTTTGGAAAAGTAAACAGTGACCTTGAGGTGGGTGCGAATATCTCAGCCCAGCAAGGTCAAATCGCCGCACCTTCCCTAGCTTTCTCCGTCAAATCCGTAGCTAAGCACCAAAATTTCAAACGGAGAAAGATTTCAAACTTCCAACACTCAACATGGAATGAATTTGCTTTTCAGTGACATTTTCTTTCGTTATGGTTAACAAAGGGGCTGGCTGCGTTGCATTTATCGTCTACAACCCTGACACTTCTTTGGTGCAACTGCCATTTCCTTGATGCCACTGCCTTGGAATGCTTAGATGCCAACTTCGTTCATATTTTCAACCAAGCCATCCTCCATCTCCTCGTCCTCCTTCGAAAACTCCAGCGGAGAAGGTCTATTGTCTTCGCGGTGTAGGTTCCCTCCTGCGAGTCCTTCGGGAAAGCAACAAAGTAGTCCTTGCGAGCCTTGACGAAACTCTCCAGCATCACCTTGCAGGTGTTCGTAGAAATGGCCTCCATGGAGAAGTCCTTGGCGTTGAGACCGCCGCCGGCAACGCCCTTGGTACGCACATGCTGGGCGATGGCTTCGAAGAACTCGGAGTTGTCGTCGGAGCCCTTCTTGTACTTGCCGCGGCATTCCTTGACGGCCTTCACGAGTGAAAGCATGAAGCCCATGAGGCGGGCGGCGTCGCGAGACTGAGTGCCCTGGAGGTGAAGGACAGCGCACAGGTTCTCAGCCTCCTCATTCTCGATCCAGTTGGCGACGTCGTCGATTGGGAAGTAGAAGCCATTCTCAAAGCCGGTCTGGAGGGTGTGCATGAGGTTGGCCATGGCCTTGACGAGCTTGGCGTCGCCGCGGATGGACTCGGAAGCTTTGTCGGGAAGAGCAGCCTTCGCTATGTCTTTATTAGATATTTACGATCGGATGGAATGAGTAAAAGGGCTGCGAAAACATACTTCCTCTCAGCACGCGCTTGCGCTCGCGGTTCCTCTGCTTTCTGTTGGCGAGACGGTCTGCGAGATACTTGTTCTTGCGCATCATGCTATGAAGCTTGCGCTTGTTGGCGGGTGTGTTATCGTCATTGTAATCACTTGCAGTGCCATTGACCGGACCGGTATCTTGGCTGACGGCGGGCAAGGCAGGCTCGAGATCCTCCTTCAGGTTGAAGGGCGCAGACATCGTGGCTGGAATTCGCAGAGGAATGCAAAGAAGCCGATGGCTAGGAGGGTGGTGATGGCGACAGCGACGAGCAAAGAGTCGGCTGGAGTGAGCTGCAGAAGCAAGGTTTCCTACAAAGGGAAAGAGCGAGGAAATGGAAAATCGGGACGCGTTGTTTACGCGTCTGCTGTATTGTCGGGGGCGAAGGTGAGGTGCTGAGCGAATGCCGAAAGGCAGTGAGCCGCTCCCAGTCACCGAAAAAAGGTTCATGGGTACCGTAATTCCCAGACCTCTCAACAAATCAAGCACTCCAAGTGAACATGGTTTAGTGGTGGAACGTGTAAGCCTGGGTTCGGCTGGAAATTGAAAATGGTGACCCTACATAACTCCAGGAGCTGCGCGATTGTTTTTTGCTTCTTTTTTCATTTTTGATAACGATGAGAAGTTTGTTCTCTATCGAAAACTTGCCTCGAAACTCTTTTCTGGGCGATGGTGGTTGTTTTTGAACTCGCGATCCACGGGAATCATCTTCGTTTTGGGAAAACCACCACCTGTGAAGCTGATGATGTCGGTCACGTTCAACCCCTTTTCCGTTGACAGTAAGAAATCCATTCAGCACACTGTATTGAAATCGAGGGAAATTCGTTGTGACAAGGCCGAAATAATCCAGTTCGGTGAGAATATTATCATTCGATAATAGTAACCCCTTTCTTCCCCGACTCTGCACTATTTCAACTTGTACATCCCACATACCTTCTGGTATGCTTCCCATTCTCCGTCCGACAGGCCAGGGGGCCGTGACTGCGGTAGATTTAGACTAGATCCAGTCCCCTTGCCGCCTCGACCCTTCGTGTTACCACGTCTTTGGTCACTCTCGTCATCCTCACTGTCCGTATCTGATTCTGACTCTTCGGTACTGCTATCTTGGCCAGAGGCAGGCATCTTTCTAGCAGAGGAACGAACATAGACCGGACGCTGCTCAGTAGTCAGAGGAACTGCTTGAGGCGGCATCTGTGCGTATGCAGGTATGGTAGTGTAAGGGTCGGCTCTCCAACGATCTCTATTAGCCCACTCGGCTTCGGAAGCACCCATCGCACTAACGAGATACTCGTCAAACTTCGCGTACCCTTCCGCCACGATCTTGAATTGCTCTTCGCCGAGGACAGGCACCGGTTCTCCGTCGATCCGTTTCTTGGCCTTGTGTTCCGCTAAAGCTATGGCTGTCTGAAAGGCGTTCCGGATTTGCCTGTGATTTCCCGTCAGTTCATTCCAATATCACTCGAAGTGTCTTCTCGGCTGGGGAAAAAATACTTACCTGCCATTCCATGTATCCCGGCCGTTCTTCTCGAGATCTCTGAAATGCTCTTTTGCAAAGTCCATGATTTCAGATTTCTTGATCTCGAATTCAACGTGGCCTCTAGACCTTTGCTCGTCCTTGGCGCGTTTGATGAACTTTCGGTAGAGTTCCTTGGTGACCTTGAGGTTCAGCTTGGGATAGAACAGTGATACCTGGATGCGAGATTTGAATGCGGGATCCATCGTCCCCACACGATTTGTCGTGAGAAACAAGATGCCAGCGTAGTATTCGAGAGTTCGGAGAAAGACGCTTGTAACAGCGTTGTGGCGTAAGTCGCTTCTCGTTCTCTTGGCCAAGAACACGTCGGCTTCGTCGAGGAGAAGCACGCATCCCCACTTGTGAGCCAGCTGAAAGTTGTACTGCAAGTTCTTTTCAACCTCGAGAGCTGTCTCGCCGATGTCACCGCAGGTGATTGGGAAGAGAGGGCGCTTCGTATCATCCGCAACGCACTCGGCCGTTGAGGTTTTGCCGACACCAGGTGGTCCATGGAGTAGAATCACGAGTCCAGCTCCTTTTCCTTTGACGAGATCCAGGCAAGATCCTATACTGAGGGGATTGCCAGTGAGGGACTCCGATGACCTTGTCGCCCGTAAGGATTCATGGGTGTCGACCAGCGCACGCACCGTTTTGCTGTGATTGTCGGGCAGAACTAGGTCGTCGAAGCTGTTGGAGAACTCCACGTCGCTGAGTTTATCGGTCGGCACAGTAACCCATTGCCGTGATCGTAATACGAACGCATGGACATAATGTTGCATCAACATGAGGTCATCCTCAGTCAAATCCTTTTCGTGTCGTGGCCCGAGATACCGAGACATCTCACCCAAGAAGATTTGAGAATTGAATTCATCAGTATCTCCGTCTCTGTGAATAACATCTCCTCCACAACAGCCTTGTGTGGTTCCATGCTTACACCATGAGTCTTGACGGGTCTCTCGTGGGTCTGGCCGGGTGAAGCTGTCCGTCGAAACGGAAGACTTCAGTAGCCAATCAGGATTTTGTGCGACGGCCAAGGCCATGTCAACGATGACCTGCGCCTCCAAGTCGTGTGACAAATCATCCAATGTCCTGCCTTTGAACATCTTGTGGCAAAAGGGACGGTTTGTCAAATTCACAAATCGTTTGCCTCCGTCAATGAACTTCTTTCGTAGCGTGTCATAGTTCTTGTCGAATCTCATGGGATAAACCGGTAGTGAGGTAATCGGCTTCCTTCCGAAAAACTTCTTGATGGACATTCGCTTGATTTTCGGCACGTACATGTGCCCATTGCTAGCCATGCTAATGCAGTCCAGCACGAATCCATCGACACGGATGGGCTTTTCTTCATTGCCGAATTTGCGATAGCTTAGGGGCTCTCTTCCACCGGCAATGCTGAAAATCCGGTAAGCATGGTGTTGCTCTTCCTGAGTAATAACAAAATCCCCTCGCTTGAAAAGATGCCAGAGATCGGCGTATTCAATTTCTGTTGCTGTTCCATCTGCAATCTGCTGTCGCAGGATCATCGTCGGCTTGAGATCCGTGTCGAGGAATTCAACTAGACACTCCAGATCTGGTAGCAGATCCTTGTACAAGTACATCTGCTGCAACTTCTTCCCTTTGTGCCGTTTAGGGAGCTGTTCAAGTACCTGGGAGGGGATGGCCTTCTTTGCTTCCTCAGCTTCTGCAGCTGATTTCACGGCTTGGACGCTGCCCTTGATATCATCTATGTGCCCCACGAAGAATTTAAATGGACGCAGGAAAACAATACTGTTGTAAACCTCAATATTTCCCACGACCTGTGGGGGCGACGTCTGAATCATCAGGGAAGCTCCGACCAGCTTATCGAGGTGCGAAAGAAGAGCGCGAGATCGGATGCGCAGCCGTTCAGGGGAAGATGAATATTCCACACCCGCTGAGGAAACGCTCTCGGAAATTTGAACCTCAAGAGCTGCTTTCTCGTTTGTGGGCAATGCGACATTATTTTTCGTTAGACGAAACTGGTCGAAGGGCACCCTCAGGAGTTGATGGCGGTGGACTGGATACATCTCGTCTGGGGTCGGTGGCTCCCACACGGTGTCAGCGCCGTTGATAATGGCTCTTAAGTCCTTGACTTGCTTTTCAAGCTCTTCGATCCGCATGTGTGTGAAAGTATGGTCCAAGACTGCTTGTTGGGCTCGGACTCCGAAGCGACCCATCTGTTTCTCTCTATCGAAGAGCTGCTTTCCGAGAGTCTTATGCTGTAGATGAGCGACATGTTGACTTAGGACTGCCTTCGACTCCGTAGGTCCATCCGCTGGCTTAGGTTTGCTTGGCTGGCCACGGGACTGAGCAGTCGCCGCATCTTCGCTCGGTTTTGCCGACTCAATCTTTTCAGTACTTGAAGGATGGTCTTCGTTGTCTTTTGTCTCGTCCTTTGAAACCAGTTGGCTCAGAATGGCTTTTTCGCCAGTATTGTCGGTTGTCTGGGGAGTTGGAGGAGTTGGACGGGGCCACAGCAAGATATCTCCCCCGCGGTTGAACGATTGGGGGGCTTCAGGCAGCATGCTGACATTTATGGCTCAATTGTCTGGGCAGAGAATCCGAAGACTGGACAGAATATCCAGAGAGATATTCAAGCGTCAAAGGATGGTGTGAAATGTGCACTTGAAAGCCAGCCAACGGTGCCTGATTGGTTTTAACCGAGGTCGCCCAACCTGGGAAAGCCTGAAATGACCAATGATGTTCTTTTGCGCCGTAACACAGGATACCCGACATGCGCAGGAACTGGGACTGCGCCACCTACGACGATACATAATTACTTGGTTGGTGAGCAATTTTCGCAGTGAATACCCACTCTGGCGCATGGTCTGCCGCAGCACACATCCGCTTCGAGTACCAACAGTGCTTACTGAGGGGCTATTCCCCCTGACCAACATGTGAGGGCCTTCCAACAGCCAACACATGGTCCGTCGTAATTGGGTATTTCCAGCGGCTGGTCCGTATCCAGGTCCACTTGACATGCAGATGTTGCTGCAGTCTTTACCTATCTTGGCGGTTGAGAATCGCAAGCAGATGGCCTGCCCTGTTCACCACACAAACCCCTCATATGAAGCAGAACACTCGCTGAATGTCACCGGACTTCACATAGAAGTATGTCGATGATGTAGAAGAGCACCCTAAGTCAATCCTTCGTCTAGTAAATACTACGCGTCCGTCCCGCAATGGCGAACCTAGACCGATCTACATTTCTGGCCTCAAGGGAGCGACAGCCCTCAAGCTCACCCATTAGATTCATAGAGAACCATGTGTGTATTTCAGGAGAGCCCGACCCGGTACATAGCCCTTGGGCTGGACGACTGGTCTCTCATACCGAAGCTGAGCATGGCGATGATCAAAGGTTTGCAATACAACGCGAATGGACACCAACAGTTCTGATCCGATTGATTACAGAAGTGCGCTGTGGAAGCAAGCCGATGACGAGATAGCGCAGCTCTTCAAGCTGATGTCGGAAGTGAGGTCGAAGCTGGAACGGAAAGAAAGCGGAACCCAGCCAATCACGAGATCATTGAGCCTCCGTGGGTGTACTTGGGATGAGGTCGTAGAGGAAATCCAAGCCACAGCTCAGAGATGGAAACAAAGAACCGGCAAAATAGGGAAGTCAATGGAATTCATCAACAAGATTGGCAATCACTCTGAGGCTCTGACCGCATGGCTTGGTCTTTTGCCAACTGGCGACTATGGATCTAGGTAAGAAAGATGTGACATCTAAACAGGTTGGGGTATGATTTTTACTCACATCTCTGGAATAGTATCTGTGGAGTGTTCAAGTTGATTATAGGGGTAAGGCATCATCTTCAGAGAAATCGCCGTGAATAGAAAGTCACTAAAGAGACATTTGTGCAGGCTACGGCAAACTACAGTAAGGTTGAGGAGGATATTTTCCAGGCGCTTTCGGAGATACCAGATGTGATGGAATCAACGAGACGATACGTCGCAATATGGACGCATCGTAACCAGCATTTTGAGCGACTAGTCTTCAATCTCTATCGCGCCACACTAAAGTCATTGCGCCAAATCATGCAGTTTTTCGCGGACAGCAGACTCAGTGAGATCTCGCAGTGCCCTCTCTCTTGCGCTTCTATTGGAATGCATTGATTGTGCTGATCACAATTAGGCAAGGTCTTCGGTGCCGTTATCAAACAAAAAGACTTCAAAATGGATCTTTCAATGAGCTTGAGAGAAATGCGGCAATGTGCTGAGAACATCGGAAAGGAGGGGCAACTCTACAACGCCGAGGAGACCCACGACACTTTTCTCATGGGAGAGCGAACCGAGCTGGTGGTGAACAAAATATTGCAGTTCCTTGAAACACATCCGCTGCTGCAGGTGAATACTGCAGAGCTGCGTAAGTGATGACCCAAGCATGGCCGCGGGGGCTTTCTTGCCGCCAACAACCCCTTTGCTGGGTACTCTGTCCTTGCTAAAGCCGTGTGATACTTCAGGCACCATGAAGGCCGCCCTCGAGCCCATTAGCCAGTACGATCTAGCGAATGTTCATCGCACATCTTCAGACGATAGCTTGAGAATCTTTGAGCTGCAGCAGCTAGCAGACGAGAAAGCCCAGAAAGACCGCCAGGAGAAGGCGGCCGCGGATAGAGGGGCTTTGCTGCAACTTATTCGATTCGACCCAGGAGTTGTCCAGCAAGACATCCTGAGATGTGCCCAGTCTGGGTACATCATGAATGATGAACAGAAGTCGAGAGCTGCGGCGATGATTCGAAACGAAACGTTCAAGTCATTTCTGCGAGATGCACATTCATCAAGAAGCCTGCTCGTCAACGGCAATGAAGACACTGCTCGCGCGGATGGGATCTCCCCCCTCAGTCTCGTTGCTGCCGAGTTGTCGCGGCTGTGTGATAGTGCAGGCGCTGCGGACGCCCCGGTTTTTGTCCTGAACTACTTCTGCGCAGAGCATTGTTCTAGTCCTCTGTTTCCGTCGTTGGAGACGTCGGCTGCTGGGTTGATGGCTAGTCTGGTAGGCCAGCTTGTCAGCCAAATGAAAGATAAAGGGATGACAGTCGACCTTTCATTTATGGCAGAGAAGAATTGGCGACGGCTGGCAAGATTTGATGTCAAAGCACTTTGCGATCTTTTCAAGAAGCTAACAAAACAGTTGCCGCCCGGGGGAATGCTCCTGTGTATTCTTGACGAGATATACTTGTATGAGTCGAGAGAAAACGTGGAATATGTTGTGTGGTTTCTAGCCGGTCTCGCTGAAAAGCAAAGATACAGTAGGGCGGCTTTCAAGCTGCTGGTAACATGCAGAATCCGAGCTATGGGGTTTGCGAAATATTTTGTCCAGAACACGGTGGATTTGGACGATGATGTTGAAGTAGACGATGCGGCCGACTGGGAGATGCAAAGAATGACAGTTTAAAATGAATTATTTGAGGAGTTATATAATTATGTCTGCCGCTAATACCAGTTGTTATTGTCACTGAATTGGCGTCATTCAACATGTTGGTTCTGTGGTCGAATAACCGGTAAGAGGCCTTTCTCGGTGAGTTCTCTCGGTCAACCTCCTCACCGAGAACCTCGCGTAGAAATAGTGGGTCTGTCTCAACTCGACCCCCGTTCAATCTTCTTGAAACGACCTTCTCCTCGATGTCATCAATATCAGCCACGAGATCCAAAAGCATATCTTAATTGCAAAAATATTGCACTATGATAGCATTCAATATCATGCCGACCAGCCGGATTCATTCACGCCTTACACCTCGGCAGCACGCGCCAATGCCCGGACGCCTGTTGCGCCGATCACCCGAGCTGTCATGTCGATCCCAACTTATGCCTCAGCAAACCGAGCTTCACGAGAGTCTGGCCAGACCAAAAGGAGCCACTGGCATCGCAGCGACTGGTGCGAAATCCGATCAAGGTTTACCGCCAAATGGGCAAGTGCCGACAACCCCTTCGAATACGATGTCGCAGCGACAGGGTTGCGGGAGCGTGGCACCATCTCGTCGGCCTGATCTTCCATTAAGTTCGGACGACCACCGCCTTCCATCCCGGGGTGAGGTTGCTTCGAGCGCCCTCGCTTGCCGCTGGCGCATTTGGCATTGCAGCCCCCTTTAAGGATGACAGCGTGTGACGATGTCGTCAATACGGGAGCAACGGCGTTTACACGGAGGGCATTCTAAGTTTAGCGCCCTGGATCGCCATGGGGGCCCCTGCGTCGGAGTGTTTCGCCTCTTTCCAGAATTGATGTTTCAAGCCAATTGTCGTTGGTGGAAATCCTGCTGGTGTGGAGGTCAGTTCATCTATCTCGAGGGTCTTGCGGGGCATCAGACAGGGTCGTGAGGCCGAGCTAGCTCTGGTCATCAGCCGACTGCCATCAACTCGACGCCCAGACAAGAGCGCGGATAGCTATTTGGGTATTTGAAGTGCGCAATGTCCCGGGTGTTCGTCTGGTCTGTTGGATGCTTCTTCCAACCTCAACCCTCCATTCCATTCTTTCATTTGCCAAGATGGTCTGGTTCAATCAAGCAGCCCTCCTCCTCAGCAGCGCGCTGCTCGTGGCCGACGTGCTCCCCGTCGGGGCCGTGCGGACCATCATCCCCAAGACGAGCTTCGACTCGCAGTCCAACTTCGACGCCGACTGGAACTACCTCTACCCCTGGGGCAGCGACCACAATGGCGGCGCGCGCATGACCAAGGACAACGTCAAGTTCAGCGGCGGCACGCTCACCCTCACCGCGAACAAGGTCAGCGGCCAGAAGCCGGCGACGCACGGCGGCCAGCAGATTGCCATCAATTACCTTAGCGGCGCGATCCACGCTAAGGAGCACTTCAACGTCTCCAAGGGCGGCGGCTACGACTTCAGCGCCGAGCTGAAAGCGACCACGACCAAGGGCACATGGCCCGCCTTCTGGCTGACCGCCGTGCAGGGCTGGCCGCCTGAGATCGACATGGCCGAGTGGAAGGGCAGCGGCAAGATCAGCTTCAACACCTTCAACACGAGCTCGATCGTGACGGCCAAGGACGTCAACTACCCGAGCCCCGGCAACTTCCACAGCATCAAGGTTGAGACGAGGGACCTGAACGGCAAGGACGTGCAGGCCAAGTTCTACATGGACGGCAACCTCATCACGACACAAGTCGGCGCTGGATACTTCGGAAAGCCGATGTACCTGTAAGTTTGACGCCTGATGCCGGATATCCGGTGGGAAAGTTTGAGGGTGATTACTGACTTGAAATGAAGGATTATCAACTTGCAAATGGAGGGCTCTTCCGGCTCGCCCGGCCCAAGTGGAAGTGAGTAGTGGAATAAGCTTTCTGTCAACTTAAATTGCGACGATGCTAACGAGTCGTGTAGGCACCGAGTTCCAGGTGCGCAACCTCGAGGTCCTCAGCTACAACCCGTGATATGACGAAATACGGGCATGAGAGCGTGATTTGAATTGTTCATATATGGATTCCCACTGTATTTACTTCGATACGGGCCCGTCGCGTCCCACGTACATATCTCCCTGCGCCACGGCGCATTGCATGATCAAAGGAAATTTCGACTTCAGACTTCGAATTGGTTCCTGATTAAAGTGCTTTTGATGTGCCTGCCGCCCTACTGACTCGAGTCCCTCGTGAGAACTCTCCTCGCCCAGCCATGATCCTTCCTCGAGGGCCGCTTATCGACAGGGAGCTCCCGCTTCCACGTGTCACGGATGTCTGTAAGCATGGTCTTCTGCTCCTGGCACTCGGATAAGATTAGTTATCACGTGTAGGAAGGTTCAACATACCATACTGAGGGGATGCTCTACTGGCGTTAGGATGATGAATTGCTCGTGAAAGGGGTTCTGTTCAAGTGAAGGTCAGCCCCAGACGACAAATCTTACTCCTCACTCACCCAGCTGACTGTCATGTCTTCTCGGGGACCCTGCTGGCGAACCGTATCTTGAATCTCTGTAACCTTGTTAGCGTAGTCTTGAGGGTTAGTCTTCCCCTTTTCCGAGAATCCCAGACAAAATGTCTCGCAACAGAGTGGTTTTCCCATGGCTGCGACTAATATCCTTGAAAGAGCTGAAATGTCTGCAGATAATCCTGCTTTCAATATCTGATACTTCCGAATTTGTGGTTGGTTTATGATGCTGGGCCACACGCTGGTCATGGATGACTGAAGCTGTTATTAATCGAATGTTCCATGGACTCATGGCATGTTCCACCTTTGAAGACCTCTGAGTGAATGTTTGGATTCTTCATATCTATGTGGTTCTGAATACATGTGGCTGAAAGTGACAGCGGAATTTGACTACAAAGCTGCTGTACTGACATGGCCGACAAGCACCTCGATAAGTCACCAAAAAGGCTCACTTTCAAGGGGTCTTCCATTAGAAAAAACAAGAAGAATCAAAAAGCAAGTTCATTTGTCTGAATGCAGCTCCCTTACATAATGTCAAAGGAGAAGTCTAGGTACAGCAAAGGAAAGGAAAGCAATCATTCACTTCAGTGGCTTGCGTTGCACAAAATAGGCAGCTATGTGTGCTGTGCATAAAGAAGCTCTGTGCACAAGGTGGTGCAGCTTACCTAAGACCTGCAACCTTTCTGAGCACATGACCTGGTGTCTGTTTCGCGTCCAGCCATCTCAGTCGGGTTCTCTCCCCTGTCACTTTTCCACCCGCCCCCGCCAGTCTTTCTCGCGCCTCTTTCTCGTCAGATTCTCTCCCAGCCTTGACCGACGATGCGAAACGACAATGACGCGCTCTAAAACCCTCGCAGCCGCCGAGAAGAAGGCCCTCGAGGGCAAGAACGAATCGCAAGACAGCCAGTACGTCCTGGACCAATACAGGGTCGTGTATGGGATCGGCGTGGTACGTAGGGCCATTTTTGCTTTTTCCTGTGGCGTTCCTCCAAGTGGAGGCGCTTTTTCTGCCTGCCCTGGACGTGTTTTGGGGCATTGCTGCCACTGGATTGATTGCAACATTTGCTAGCACTGCAACGATGCAGGCATTGCTGCGACCATGCGCTAACTGATTCGGGCGCCAATACAGACAAGCAGTTCGCCGCCGAGGCCATCAACATTATCGCGACAAAACAGTCGAGAGAGCAGAAGGCGTCGCGACTCACCTTCGACTTTCCTTCCTGATCCTCCGAGCAGAGCGACCGGTCAGCCTATTTCCCAATCGGTACTGAGCAGCGCGCCTCCAGCGACTGGAACCGGAAACGCGGTGGGTGTTTGTTCCCCCACCTGGGAAACAGGGATTCCTTGCCGGGATGGCACTGACCAAGACAGCTACCCCAGCAGGACTTTATTCGCGAGGGCCTATCGGTCGCGTCACTTCCCGCTGCCGCCGCTACGGATGCCGGAGGCCAAGATCGCGGCCCAGATCCCCAAACAACATCCTTTGTCTCAGCTCCGCCAGGGCCGTCCGACGCGACAAATTTTGTCAAGCCGCCGTTGGCCCCGATCCGCGACGACGATGCGATAGATCCTCAAACCGAACCCACCCCCGCACCATGCGCCCTCGACGAAACATCTCGGCAGCCGAAGAAAGTCAATGTCTCGCCTCGATCATCGCGCTCCGTGTCTCGCAAAAAAGCCAAGATGGACGTGTCACAGCAGTCGCCGACTCAAGATAACGACGAACGAGATTACCAGAACTACTACGATGGCCCGTCCTTCGTCGAGACGAGCCCCATCTCACAAGACGCCGTGACCCAGAGTTGCCCTCCCCACGACGAAGATTCGGGTCCAGTGAACTTTGGCAACCTCAGCCACCTGATCCAGGAAGAGACGCAGCCGGAGGAAGAACCTTCATCGATACCCGACGATGTCAATCTGGCTACGGGCCGAGGGGCCTGGCGCAGGTCCAGCTCCCAACAACACTCCTCCGTCCAACGAACCGATATCGACTCTCCTCTGCCCAACACGGCCCAACCGCCGCAGACACCCGCCAATAACCCCTTCGCGGGCATTAAGAAGCTCGGTGACCCTGCCTTGGTTGGATCGCAGTTATTTGGTCAAACCCAGTTTTCGTCAGCCGTCAAGCGATTCAGCCCTACCTCCTCGAGACCGTCTCCGCACGTGTACGCCCACAACTCCATCTCGCCAAACGTCGCTGAGACGTCACCGCTTAAGAATCGGTATAACATAGCGTCTTCTATGCCTCCGTCGAGCCCGCAAATTACTAGGACTGAGTCGCCGGGTCGTCAGGAACGCAGTCCGAGTGTTGGTCAACCCGATGATGGCACGGTACCCGAATCACCACAGTACGCACCGGCCAACACACGAGTGCGACCGGAGCCCCCAGCAGAATACGAGAGTGCGAAGGAACCGCCAAGAAGAAGGCTCAGCAACGAAGCTGAGGACGTGATGTCTGGGGACGATACGGATGATTTTGGGGATGATTTTGACGATGCCTTGAGGCGCAGAAGACTCGTTGCACAGAAGCAAGAGGCAGCGTCGAAACAGCTTGCCAATATCAGTGTCGGACGTCGCAGTGAGCGTCGTTCCGTCGAGGTGCCTTCAACGACTAAGAGAACAAGAGCCACTCGGGCAGGACGATATCGTGGACGACGTATTGCGACTACATCAGACGACGAAGCGGACGAGTTTACAGTTGCTGATTCTCAGGGACAAGAAGCCCAGCGGCCGCGTTCGCGGGCATCGCCCGATCTTGGAAACGGCAAACCGGCAATCGTGTCGAGTAACGAAAAAGTCCCAGACAGTACCGGTGCTACCCAGAAGTCGAATACTGCAGGCGCAGTCCCGGAAACGGAGAGTTCGGGCAACAGCTCGCGCCCGAAGGACGTTATTCCCGAGACGAGTCCTACCAACACGCAGTCGCATCCTGAGCCTGTGGTTATAGCATCATCTGACCAGCCTTTGGCGAAACGCCATGCTGAGCCTGTCGAAGAACGGGAAGTCCCTGCGGAAACCGCCAGTCAAGACAGAGCGCCCAGGGAGGTGGAGGGCGAGGTCGAGAAAAATACGGAAGAAGTTGTGGCAGAAGTTGAGCCAGCCAAAGAGCCCGACACCGAGCTATCAGAGCCTGCGCCTGTGCAACCGTCGCGCAGGTCCGGCCGCAAACCCCGACCAACACCAAAGGCTCAATCATTGAAGACCACAGCACGTGCAGCTGCATCTGTGGAGTCTGCTAACACGGAGGGTCGCGAGGGTCACAACTCGGGCGAAGGCGCTGCTCAGCATGCCATAGTTCCTGCGGAGGAGCCGATTATGGCGCCAGACGCAGTCACCAAGGAAGAGGCACCTGCCCCAGCAGATGCCCTCCCTGCTGAGGACCAACCTGCCCTTCCATCTTCCCCTCCCATTCCCAAGACTCGGTCCAAGAACAAGACGTCTCCAGCCATCATTAGCCAGAACAAACCAACAGAGAATACTCCCGCAACGCCAGATACCCATCAATCACCGACTGCTGCTGAGCCTCCTGGGTCGACCTCGACGTTGAGTGATCTCACAGCTACGCCAGCACCATCGGACAAGACCTCTCCGGCTACCCAAGAATCCGTCGAGCTTCCGCCGCTTTCCCCCGAAAAGCCGACACGTGGACGCCAGTCCGCAAAGTCCTTGTCGAGAGTCACCACAGGGTCACGCGTGGCCAAGCCCAGCACTCGAAGACAGAGCCGCAGGAGCACGCGTCTTGATAGTGCCTCGACTGACGAGCTGACCCGGTCACCTTCTGTTACGGGCTTCGAGAATAGTATCATCCAACCTCCGAAGCAAAGTGCACGCGGCAGCCGTCTCTCAATGTTGTCGTATACTTCCAAAGATGGCGGTGGTGCTAAGATCTTCGCTGGCATGGCCTTTGCCATATCATTTCAGTCGAAGAAAGACGGCGAGAAGCCGGACCAGTACGAGCACCGTTTGGGACAGAGCCGAGATGTTGAAAAGATGATTTCACAAGCTGGTGGACATCTGCTTACCAACGGCTTCGACGAACTATTCGAAGCAAACGCGTTGAAGAGCAGGTCAACCAGCCCGGCGTCGGATGGAACAGAGGTAACCCCTTTGACATTGACACCCTGGGCACAGTCACTCGGCTTCACAGCCCTGATTGCAGATGGTCACTCTCGAAAGGTTAAGTACATGCAAGCTCTTGCCCTGGGACTACCTTGCATTTCGGATAGATGGGTAGCCACCTGCGTGGCAAAGGGGACAGTGGTAGATTGGCTGCCATACCTTCTTTGTGCAGGACAGTCAACCTTCCTTCGAGACGCCATCCGCTCTCGCTCCCTGGCACCCTACTCGGCCACCGAGGCACGACTTGGCGATGTCATCGAACGCAGGCCAAAGATGTTGGAGGGAAGCAAGATCCTCCTGGTGATGAAGAAGTCCAGAGCGGAGGATAAGAAGATGCCGTATGTTTTCCTAGCACATGTCTTGGGTGCTACGCTGTCGCGAGCCTACAATCTCGAGGAAGCAAAGGAGACGCTCAAGCAACGAGAAGAGCTAGACGACCCTTTCGACTGGGTATATGTCGACGAGCACACCGGAACCGAGGAGGGGCTATTCAGCTCCGCCGCCCCCAACACGAAGCCCTCTAAGAAGAGGAAGCGGCCAGCTGCGCCCGCCAAGGACGAGGCAGACCGAGCCCCGAAGCGGATCAGAACCTTGAGCGACGAGCTGGTCATCCAGAGCCTCATTCTCGGCCGGATGATTGAGGAGGGCGAGCTCGATGCGTGAGCTCTGCATTGGAACAACTGTACTAGTACTGTGTATAAGGATCAAAAGGAGACAATAGGGTTTGTCAAGTTGCATCATTATGGCGTTGGGCGGAAGGGCAATAGGACGATACCTTGTAGGCGGGTTGGCGAACTCGGATAAGACGATACGAGGGCATGTGTACTATAGGCATGAATCAAGAAAGGCTTTAAGCCATTGCATACGTGGATTTTAGTCTCGCTCGGCTGTTATTGTCGCGATTGATAAGTTACTGGCGGTTCGTGACCTTGGTGGGTGGCTGGTCGTCCAGGTCCGCAACCCCTATTCTCTGAGTTCGCCCGTGTCTCCCTTCATTTCTGGTCGTCTGTGATCCTCGCCTGTCGGTCCCGTCCGTCGCACCTGTTTGTCTCCCTCGTCTCCGTCTCCGTCTCCGTCTGTATCTCCTGGCTCTGCATGTCGTCGCTGTCGCTTGGTACCGTCGCTGTCGCTTGGTGTCGCTGGTAGTCCTCGTCTGTTGTCCTCGGCTCTCGCCATCATCTCTCGCTATCGTCTCCCATCCTCGTCCCTCTCTCTCCCTGTTCCCTGGCTCCATGCGTCATCGCTGTCTCCCGATGTCGTCGCTGTTGCTGTTGCTGTTGCTGTCGCTTTCGCTGTCCTTGGTACCGTCTCCGATATGGTTTTGGGCCTTCCATGCCCTCCCTCAATGGAGGAACATGTATGCCCCCCCCCCCCCCCCCCGCAATTTCCCTGCCACAGGACTAAAGCAGCAACTTACTTTTGAATCTATTCGGAATGTGCGCCACCAGCCAACAGGTTGCCCACCCAAGAGTAGCACCGTAGATGGCTGCGTCCCGTATGTCTCGTCGTCAAGTGTATAAAGCCCCAGATCGCCCGCCAAGAAGCTCGTTCTGTTTCTTCTTCTTCTTTTCTTCGTCCGCTTTCAAACAAAACATTTTGCTTCGCTGTTTCGCTTTTTTTGCCACTTTTTCGCTTTCTTGCTTTATACACGCTACCACCGCTCCCAGTACATCACCACAGACAGAAGTCACGATGTCTCCCACTGCTCCTTCCCGCACCGCCCCCCGCCCCTTCTTCAAGTTGGGTAACCCCAACGTAAAGAGCACCATTCGGGTCGAGATCCGCCTCAAGACGGCAGGCTCGGGTGGTGCTCTGGGCAAGCGCTCGAACGCTCCTTCCCGCCCTCCTCACAAGCCCGCCCCGGCTCGTGTCGACAAAAAGACGCAGGTCGGCCAGGCGGGACGCAAGAAGTCGAGCAACCTGCCTCGCAATAAGTCGGGCAGGGCCCGCAAGGGTCCGAAGATCCTCGCCAACCATGGCGACATGCCCATCGCGCAGATGGCAGCGCCTCCTCCCGGTCGTCCCTTCCTCCCCTCTCCCTCGCTCTCTCCTCCTCCTGCTCCTTCCCAGGAGCATCGCCCCCCTGCTCCTTCTACAGCAGGCACGGTCATCAGGAAGAGGAAGGCGCCCCCCACGATGCTCCTTCCCACAAGAAGGCCCAAGCCTTACTCCAGATAAGGGGAGGCGCCTTCCTGCCTTCCTTCCTCTTTTTTCTTCAGCAAGGGAACGAATAAGCACTCGAGAGGGTGCGACAAGGACGACGGACGACGACGAGGACGACAGCGATGACCACCAGCGGTGTTTTTTACAGCGGATATCATTACCTAGCGTTGCTTTTTTTCACTCTTTTTTTCACACTCTTTTTTCACACTCATTTTCTTTCAGCGAGTGTGTTTTTTTCCTTCAGCGACACAAGCGACAAGCGGACCTGGTTTTTCCCCTCGCGGGGTTTTTTCCTTTTTTTTTTTTTTTTTTTTTTTTTAATACATCACCAGCGGGGATACTTCCCACCCCAAAACTGTTCCTGTGCCTTCCGTGAATGGTGATGTGTGATGTGTTGTGTTATGGATGTGCTGTGCGATATGATGTGCGATGTGAGATGTGTGAATTTCCTGACTGACTGTAATCCCTGACTGCTGTGACTGTCGTCGTCCTGCCTCGTCGTCCTGCCTCGTCGTCCTGCTTCCCCGTCGCTAGTCTTCGTCCCTGCCTGCCATCTCTGCCTACTGTCTCTGCTCATTGTCTCCGTCCATATCTGCGTCCCTATCTGCGTCCTCTGTCTGCGTCCTTCCTATTCGCTATGCGGCTCTGCTCCTTGCCTCTGCCTGCCAGCACTGTTGATATTCCAATCTCTATCTCTAGCTCCTGTCTCTGGCTCCTGTCTGTATCTCTGACTCTCATTACTGGCCCCTGCTTCCTCCAGATTCCCGTCCATCCCTGATCGCTATCTCTAGACACAACCACCTCTGCTCATCGCCATCTCTGCTTCCCACTTCTCCTAACCACTTCTGCTCTGCATCACTGTCCTGATCGTCAACTATATCTCTACCTGCACCTTGACCAGCATCTGAAATAGCGTATTTACCAATTGAAAAATGAACAGTGAATGAGAGCAGAGACGACAACGTAAGGATTTGCACGAGTTCATAAGATCGGCCTTATACACACTTCTCCTGAATTTGGAAATATCCCTCCGAGAATACCCAGGCTTGGACTCCTGATTGATGATGTCCCTTTTCCCGGAGGTTGGGGAAACGGCATATCCCCCATGATGAAGAATCGTGGAAAGTTGTTCACTCAGACAGAGGTTCGCAAAGTCATGTTAAGAACATCAGAGGGTTCATAAGACGAACGGAAGTCAAAGTGAGAAAAACCGAAAGGTAATTACCTTTCTCATGGCCCCGTCGCGTTTCAAACGAACCCCCTCCCGGAGTCACCAGAGCATCTACTGACGAGGATTTGTTTAGCTGTTTCTTTTACCAGCTAGACCATTTGGCCCAGCTGAAATGGTTGAAGGTGACTGAGTGAAAGTCGAACAAGTACTTGAATGGGCTTGGTTGAAGACGCAGGCACTGGGTTCAGTGAGTTGCGAGTCGGGATAGAGGCGCAGTTCTTCTCAAAATCATGTGAACTGTTAGCAAATTTCCAACTACTTCAATAAGGCTTCAATAACTGACTCAGGTTGCCCACGTTGCCGATGAGGGCTACGGCCAGCTTGAACTGGCTTGCGTTTTGGCGACAATGATGCCCCTGCTCCGGAGCCCTTCCGACAACGGGCATGCCACCCTTGTCACCATGCTTGGGAAGGCAGTTCGGGACAATATCACAAACGAGGATCGCCTCGCAACGGAAGGCCCCCACGGAACGGCAGCGCAAATCATCCGCCAGTACCTGGATCTTTCGGTTCCCACGAGTATGGACGACCCCATGGCGGTCAAGATCATGTACGCTCTGGACTGCGTCGTCAACCATGATACGGCCATCAAGAGGTACGTCATCTTCGGTGTTCTACGCCTGGGAGTAGTCGAGTGCCCGACACTAGCTTTTGAAGAGCTATTCGAGGAAGGTTGGGATCTTCCAGAAGGCTCATGAAGCCGGAGCTAGAATGAAGAAGGAGCACATTGTCGTGGAGCGGTGGCCGTTCACTTTGTTCCTTCGACCTGGCGAGCCCGGTGCCCGGGAGGAGATCGACCGCAAGATCGGTGGAGGCCTTTCGACTTTGATCGGCTACCTCGAGTGACAGGATTCTGAGGATTGGAAGAAATAGCGAAGCACGGGGAAGTTGAAATCAGCAAAGAGTGAGGCGTAGCTGGTATTGTGTATTGGAATTTGGAGGCAATCTGCCCTCCTTGGTACGGGTCTGAGCATGGCCCTGACAGTTATACGCCGCCACGGCAAATCGATGGTCATTAGATAAACACCCGAATCACCTCCTGCGTGAACACGGTCATCTTCAAGACTTCTCCAAAACACCTACGATCCAGTCCAACGCCTCCTTACTCGCTTTCAACCCATACCTAAATGTCAACGGGAAACAGTGCATCTGCCCATGCCATGATAGCCACTCGCCTGTCACACCATGCTCTTTGCACTTATTTCTGAATGCTACAGCTTCAGGCTCTAACACATCGTAAGACCCAGTCAAACCGTGAACCTTGACCCCGTGGCGAACGAGGTACGTGAGATCAGCCTGAATAGGGGACACGCGAGGATCCTCAAAGCTCCAATCCAATCGACCAGACGATGGCTTCTCGTGCGAACTGCTACCATCGCTCACTGGTCCAGGACACCACGTCTTCGCCGTGTCATGGATACACCCGTGGGTATGTATGGGATCAACCTTATCCGCCTTCTTGATCTCTTCCATCTGGTGTCGTAGATCTGTAGTTGGACTCATCGCGAGGATGGCAACCGGTGGCTTCGCAGTCTCTCCCTCTTGGAACCTTAGCGTCCACGTTACCACACAGAGGGCGATGTTGCCGCCTGAACTGTCGCCGGCCACGATGACCCTCTCCCCAAGCCTCGTCGACTCCATCAACAGCTTCTTGTGGACCCTCTCAATCTGAGGGAAGGCTACTGAGACCGGATGCTTCGGCGCCAAGGGATATGAGATTATCGTGACCCTCGTGTCAGGTAAGCGCCGCACTAGCTCGGCGCAGAAGGCCCAGTGGTGTTCGCTCGGGGGCATCTGCCACCCTCCACCCCCAAAGTAAAGAATTCGTCGCTTATAACCTGTCCCAGCACCTTCCTTTCTTTCTGTTGAGGTCTTCGGTGTTATATCGTAAGTCCAGACTCCTTCTACTTCATTCTCCGTGACGTCGCAGTATCTGCGCGCCCTCTTTGTGGCAGTCAATCGCGTCTTTTCATCTGAACCCTTCTTAGGTTTCATTAATCGGGGCTTGAGGGGCTTCAACACTGCCTGTACGACTCGCGTGAGAAAGTATCGCTCATTTCGCTCGGTCACGGTGAGACCGGCTGCGTGGGCGTGGTTGGAAGCTTCATTGTGATTGGGGAATTGGTCGTCTGATGTTGAAGTCTGCATGATGAGGACTACGAACTGTGTAGTTGATCGGCAGCTCCAACGGAACGGCGAATTTAGGAAGGAGATTTAGATGAAGCCGGAAATATTTAGATTCAACGGCGAGGAATGTTAGCTGTTTTATTAGATCACGCTTGGCTCGGATCCACGACGTCATTAGCTCTGGGCGCCTTGACGTCATTCGTGAGACCTTCAAATCAACACAAATCCTGGAGGCGCAATAAGGCCATTTCAAATATTTCCTAAGGCGAAAAAAAGTCAATTTGTTTTTGTACATATCTACTTATCTCATGGGGTCTCATTTACACAATACATCTTTCGCAACATGTCATGAGTGTCAAGAAAATGGGAGGCGAACACCACACTAGATACATTTCACGGCTTTCTCCACCTTATCCTGATTATAATGCTGGATAAAAGACCTGGATTAGTGTATTAATATAATCAATGAGCGTGTGAATGAGGCCGAACTGCCTCCATTACCACAGATTGCCTTCCCAAAACAAAACATTCCTCTTATTTGACACCATGTTGAATGGGCCAATGCTGTGCCATATGTTCTCTTCGTTGCTTTACATTCGCGCCGGAATGATTTGGCAGAGATACCTCAATGAATTCTGACCTCTTCACCAGTTGATCCAATGAACTTTCCGGGCAAATACCCGGCCCCCACACGTTCGTAGATCAAGTGCCCATCCTTGTGTCTCTTGTTCGTCGACGCCACAATCAAGAGGTAGTGATCTCTCATGCTGTTCGTGTTGTCTCCTAACGGAGCGATTGCCTTCTGCTTTCCTAAGACGACGCACTTTGTTGAAGGCTGGTGAGAACCACCAGGGCGGTCGAAAAAGATTTCACCCTGCCCATCGCGAAGGTTGAGAAGGTTGTAGTCTCTGGCCTCAGCAACCAAAGCCACATCTCCACCGCGATCATCTGTCTGTACCTGGCTTTCGAACCCACCAGTCGCTTTGGACCAAGGCGACCTCATCTTTTCCCAGTCTACGCCACCGAAAGACGGGCTAATGTAGTCGATTCCGCCATGGCATGCCATCCACGACCATGAGGGCACCTTCGCAATGGGATGGTCCTTGGGAAATGTGATGCGGTCTAAAGTAGGAACACCAGCTCCACGGCGCCATAATAAGCTTCGGCGAAGTAACCCCCTGTTTTGGCCATCTTTGTCTCCCTCGTCGAAGATTCCAAAGCCTCCTTGAACTCTGAGCGTCTTGAGAAGCCTGTCCTGTAGGCCGTCGATTGCCATCGTTCGATCGTGATCCTTCGAAAGACCGAGTCGAGAATATGTGCTATACAGATCCTGGTATCGAAGAATTCTTTCTCCTTGGTCAGCCTTCATTATTACTTTTGGGAAGTCCGGATCCCCGAGGAATGTGGCCAGTTCACTGATGTTAGACTATCAGTAAGTGAGGCTTCTCGAGAAACACCTTAGTAGTATGGGACTAGGGGATTTCGTACTTGGTCAACTTCGTCATTGTTTCGCAGCGAACACCTTCCCCACACTCAAAATATGTCTGATGATCAGTGAAATATACCGTTCGACGCGCTAGTGCATGTTCCTGCAGCACCCATCCTCTTTTGTTCAAAGACCCGTCCAGAACGTGAGATCCGAAGTTGTCAATGATCTCGGAGATGTAAAATGGCGCCGGTTTTCCATGCTGTCGCATGATAACAGTATGTCTCTGGTTCCTCTTCTGCAAAAATCCAGCGTAGTGGCCTGGAGATCTGCTCGACGCCAGGACGCAATACGCACCACTGTAGACTTGCTCCATGTTCTTAGCTTCTTGGTTGAAGTCGCCACCCTCGCCTTGTATGATGCAAAGTGAATCGATCCAAAGATATGGCCGCCCAAGAGCACGAGTCACTGTGACTGCGTGTTTGAAAGTAGCAGGTAGCAATTCGAAATCCATACCGTCGATGTGTGCCTTCAGATTAGCCGTGGTGGTGCAGAATTGATTCCCGTTGCCCCATTGATGAGAGAGTGCGATCCATTCTCCACGATCTTGGGGTCGAGATTGTCTAGTCTCCAGAAGATGCACCGTTTTGTCTCCTGGTTTTCCCACAGCAATGACTCGTGTGGGCAGGTAGTCCTGTCGCAATGCAACGTTCGAGTTTTCCCAATCGGATGTGTTTCCCGAGACAGTCCGGTGGCAGTTTCTATGGTGGACGTCACACGTATCCAGCCAATGTCGTATGATCTCAAAGTATGCCTGGCTACCAGCCTCAAAAAGATCTGGATACCCAACCTGAATATCGGCATCGATTCTTGTCATCAGGCCTAGTTCAAAACGTTAGATAACCCATTTCTTCTGTACCAAAGGGTAAAACCCACCCAGGCTTCTGGAGATCGACAGAACTGGCGGCCCTATGCCATTCATCTTGAGGAACGTTCCGGTCCTTTCAAATGTTACAGTTGACAGCTTAACCGTGGCTCGTTGGTAGGCTTTCCAAAGCAGTTGACAGAGATGGCAAGAGTCCTTTGCTGATGTCTCTAATTCGTCGGCTTCGTAGGTAACGCTGAATGCTGGCTGCCAGATATTCTCGGATATCTCTTGACAGTCTCCACAAAGGACTGAAAGAGATAGATCGTGAGGCTTCAGCAAATTCTTGGAACGAATAGAATTCAGAGTAAACTCAGCGAATTTGTTATCGACTTCAAGGTTCCAGTCGGTACCAAGCTTTAGCAGCGAACGTTAGAAGCGATTGAGATATTTCGCTTGACAGGCGGGTACCTACTTGCTATTGGAGAAGCATGTCGTAAGAAACACGTCTAAACTGGCACCTGACTTGGTGTTGTTCCAACTTACAGTCTACCATAGTTTATCAATGACGTGTCAATCTACTTCGTGGGCGTTACGAAACCCGCATGAATCAGGTTTGCTTACATGCTATAATAGATAGCAGTCAGCATGGGTTGTGGCTAACACTGTGGCCCTCGGGAATTATACTTACTCCCTGTTGAGAGTGTGAAGTGTTTTTAGTGAAGTGCAGCGTGAAAGGCCAGCTGAATTGACAACACCTACATACTGTGAACGGTTTGCAAAGTTCAGACTGGAGTTCACGGGCTACTTACGTCCTGGCAGCGATCATTAGCATAATATAACCGGATATAAATGAACATGAGGCAAAGAACGTACAACCTAAGAATCGAAGTTGCTGTTAGCCAATGGACAACCTTGAGCGTCAATACTGGAGGAGAGAGGCCTTGGACTGACTTGTTTCGCTCGCGGTGCAATCAAGCTTGCCGTACGCTGCATAGCTTGGGAAAATTGTCCATCGTTTCTCACTTTGGCTCCTGAGTCCGCCGATCGATATGTATCACCTTGCTTAATGATTCGGACAATATCGTCAAGAAAAGGGCCACGTGGAAGATTGGGGAGACCTGTGAACCAGTAGCTGTCATCCTCATCCTCACCTTCTATTTCAAGCATGGAGTCATAGAACTGATTTGAGCGTGCACGTTCCCGGCCACCTTTGGAGAATGCTCTGTTAGTGCCCGGATCGACTTCCTGCTTTTGTCCTGTCTCCTTGGCTCCCGGACCACTGACGACAATGTCAGGGGGTTCTAGTGCAATGTCTAGTGCAACGACGTGCTGGGCCTCGGTGGCGTTCGCTGGCGAATCAGCCGATCTGTTGACGATTGGCTCGCGAACGACGTCCTGCTGAGGTGCCATGGTGTCATCCGAAGTGATTGCTGATGTACCGAGTCGCTCGGGAAGCTTGACAACAAGCAGTCGAGTCTGGACAACTTCGAGGAGGTTACCCAGAGCAGTTTGGCCCACCTTGAAGATGGGATCTTTTGCCATGTGCTCCATCCATCGCACAGCAACATCGTGGACTGTAGCTATGAGTTGGTTGCTAGAATCACGCTTGACTTGGTAGAAGCGCGGGGCATCGGGGTTACTGAGATAGATTCTGGCGGTGAACTCTTCCAATTGTTCGAGGCCATAGACCAACCAGATCCAGAACTCCAGCGTGATACAACCCATGGCCCAAATGTCGTAAAGGCGGGATCTCTTCTTTCCGGACTGTCCCGGTACCAGGAGCTTCGCTCCCTGACTAGCCGCTTCCTCTGGTGGCTCATAGGCGCGAGTACCCCACCTAGTGGTGGTCTTGTTGCTTCGCAACTCGGTGACGAATCGGTGTTGCTTTGCAAGACCCCAGTCCCCAATCTTGAGCAAGCCAATCCCATCAACATCACCGCCGTCCTTGAACCAAAGGATGTTCTCTGGTTTCAAGTCACCATGTCGAAAGTTCAAGCCGGAGGTAGACACGGGATAATGTGCTTTGCTGATTGCTTCGGCTAGTCCCAGAATCTGGCGCAGTGTTGCCTTTGTCAAATCCCCTGTCAAAGTTGGACGATCAAACTTTCGCCAAAAGTCCCGGAGATTCCCACCGTTTGCCCATTCCATCATCAAAAAGTGTTCCTCTTGTCCGGGGGATCCTCGTCGGAAGGCCGTAAGAAACCGAACAATGTGGGGTTGGTTCAGTTGATTCATCTTCTGCAGGATGTCTGCTTCCCTCTCCCAGCTATGGACCATCTTTTGCCGGTCGGCTTCCTCGTCATTAATTCTTTTCACAGCGACGTACTTGGGGCAGTGAAAATCCTATGCGACTCAATTATTCAAGCTGCTCGTTGTGGCTCTCTTTAGCGACAGGCGAAATACGTACTTTGTCATTCGAATCGACGAGATGCGATGGATGGATTGCATATCCTGATACTTGTCCGAACGCTCCCATTCTACATTCCTGAATCTTGTCTGTGAAAGGTAAGACACAGTGAGGGCTCAGATCATGATTGAGCTTGCTGATGGAGAAGACAGGGGCCAGAAATTGCCACTGCGCGCGACAGAAAAGGTCTATCCTGGCAGGAGACCATATTTCATCTTCGTAGTCTTCGATAAAGGAAGATGTTCCGTCGGAATTGACGTGCTCCCCAGACCAGTATGTTGTATCTATGGGCAAATGCTGATCGGACATCTCTCGTTCCTGGCCTTGTCGCATTCCCTCTCTCAGCTCACTTCCAGGAAGTGCAAGCATTACAGCAATTGCGAAGATTGTTCTGGCATGCTTGAGAATGTAATCTGCGAGCTGCTCATCTGAAATTAGCTTAGGGCCCTCGTTCCTCCATTGCCGTCCTCTCAGAAAGGTGTTGAGAATTGACTCCTTGGTGACAAGCTCTTCCATTGACCCTTGCGACAAGAAGCGATGTTGAGAGTCAAATGCACTGCTTATGAAAGTGCCGAGAATCCTGTCTGAAAGGGTTTCAGTCGGGCGGCCGCGGCTCACAGCCTTAGGGCTTGATGGTGCCATGACAGCCAAGCAAAGACATATCGCGGTCTTGAGGTATGGTAGAACGCGATTGAACACCACGGCTGCGAAGAGAGCATAAGCGATTGAGGACAAGATCATGAGCTTCTTAGGACTCGGGAAGAATGTCGAGAGCGATGCTGTTGTGAGGGTTAGGGACACTTAGCACAGCGTGAGGCCCTGAAATTCCCAGAACCGTTCCGGGGACGATTCTCGCACTTTTGTCATCATACTACTCCGCCGCAATGCCATGACAGCCTCTTGAATACGAACGATTTAGTGGCCAGCCTTGATTCAAAGATACCACCTTTTCATGTATGTCTCAGGTGATCAGAGCACGAAGAATGTCACACTGCAGGCACTCGGAAGCAGGCTACGGCTTGAATTGACGCCTTTCCTATCAAATTCGTTATCATGCCGCAGATCGTCCATGTGGCGTTGGTCTCGATGACCCGTTTCTCTCAGCTGAAGGGGTCTATTGGTAAATTGCATGCCGGCCTAGACCGGACTTAGCCGACCGGCAGCCTCCTCTGAAAACCAAGCCAAGCCTCCTCCTCCTCAGCTGACATGCATGAGCCAACTGCAACCCATCAACGATCCGACCATACGAACATAAATATTGCGCCATGAACTCCTAGTATGTGTTGCATCATATCATACATAGGCAGGATGAACTGCTTGTGTTCCATGCCTAGATGCTACCTGCATTTGGCGATTTCAACCTGAGGGCAACAAGATCTCAGCGTGTGTTCAAGATGAAGAGCAGAGAAATGAGAATGAAAGAAGGTCTTGAACTTACATCTGTGAGATGTCTTTTAGCCTTGATGCTATAAGTATTGTGTATTAACTATAATTTGTCAGTAGGCATAGCTTCTGGTTGGAAGTTGAGATCACTAACGTCAACATCGAAAGGATCGGTTTTGAAGGCTTCTTTTAACATGTTTGCGAGTTTCTGAGGATCTACATCACTAACAGAGATATTTTGAGGAGGCAAAGACTTTGAAGCACGCGAGAAAGGATTCCTCAGTGTCATGATGTGATGAAATCTGGTGGACAGTAGAAGAGCTCAAGAAGAAAGTGGCACAGACAAGCCCAAATGATGGATGAGGGCGAAAAAGACGGTAACATAACTCGAATTTCAATTGAAAGCTAAGAGCATCCGAAGCCTTTATTGTATGTTGCGATAGATAACCCCAAAACCATTCTATTTTGAAATCTGCCCACCCGCTCGGCTAGGATCATTGATCAGGCTGCTCGGAAATTGAGACATGAGGCTGACAAGTGCACATCCTACTGATACACCCCCTCGACAGAAATTGAATCTTGAAACGTGTGATTGGCCGGGCCTGCCATGGGCGGATTGGAATTTCAGCCAGAAGATCCTCCAGCATTTCTGAGGGTGTGAGGGGATTAGTTGGAAATGGTGTGCAGGGCAGGCTGTGCATTCCTATTAGATATAGTGCCGCGGGTACGCGGAATGCCACACTTTCTGGAGGCCTCGAAAGTCCCAGATGAGGCAGTCACCTGTCTCGCGTTGCCTCTCGATAGTCAGGTCAGCCCTTGGCGCCTTAGCATGCGTCGGCAATTCTGTACAGTACTTTCCCCCCAAGCTGGTTTAACAGATATACTCCCCCTTGCCCAAGCCTTTTTCTACTTTGACCGCCAACCAGATGTCTGCATGCGACCATTCCAATGCCGACGAAAGCCACATCGTAGCGCAAGCACTCAGTCATGTCTAACAGCCAGAGAGCCCAAAACGTTGCACCCGAGCCAACGGGGATCACTAGACATGATGCAGCTCCCCCGAGATCGCCTAAAATACCAAGATGGAGCCATTTACAACTAATCCGGATAGTCAGCGGCATTCCTACGGCGACAGAGAACAAAGCTCAAAGCCCAGGTGACCAAGGCGGAGTCACACCTTCAAGCTCATCAAACCCAAGGTATGCCTATTCCGGGCAAGTTCTCCTTGATAATCAGGATGGGTTCTTCGCATCATTCCGACGTTCTAGAGTGAAATCAAACCCTGGCGGGAACTGGACGGCAGTAAGTCGCCAAACGCTCTATGTAAGAAAAGTTCAACACTAAACTATTTTCATCAGTGTGACTCTCAAGGTTCCTCCCCAACCTCTCAACTCAAACACCGTCTTATCGAAATTCGGGATGTGGTAGGATCATCAGCGGCTAAAACACGTCACAAGATCCGAACCAGAAAAGATTCGATTGTTTCGACATTGCCGAGGGATGGTGCTATCTCTGAAGATCATGAAGGAAGATGCAACACGAACCTTTCGGCCTACGACTTTGATTGTCCACCACTACATCATAAGCTCTACCGAGAAATCAGGAACAATCGTTTCGACAACAACAAGACCGGTTTCCTCCCCCAAAGTCAGCTTGTGACACTCTTATCTACAGATGTCGTGGCCAACGAGCTGAAGAGAAGCGACTCTTTCCTCGGGAGAAATCACAAGAAACTGGGGCGTCTTAGATTTCCTTTCCACAACCATCCTGGAGACGGAGCAGATGTTATACTCCAACAGGCGTGCAGAATCCACGGCATCTTCCCAGTACCTTCATCTCCGGGGCGCGAGGAAACCGCGAACTATGATTCTAATTCATCTCGCCAAGAAGCCCCAAAGTCATATCTAAAGATCCTAGCCATCCTGATTCTGATCGAGAGGCCGGCTAGGATCAAGTTGTTTGTCGACGCGGGTGTATCAGACGATGATCTTCCCCTTGTCAAACAGCCTCCTGAAGGTCGCTTTGCACTCCGTCGAAAACACATGCTCGATGACCCATTAGAATGCTTCGAAACGTGGTCTGATACTTCGATTGCTAGATTCGAAGAGTGGCAATGGGCGTTTCTTGCGCCCGTCTTCGAGTCTCCACAAAAGAGGATTGTCCCTCATCGACAATTTGGCCCAGACACGGTGTTACCTTTCAGATTTGCAACGAAACAAAAGGCCAGGACGGGAGGTTTTGGGACCGTTCGAAAAGTGGCTATTCATTGTCACCATCGCGAATTCAACAACGAAGATGTAGGTCTCTCCATTCAAACGCATTCAGTGATTTCGGTCGTTTCAATTGAATTGATCCTTGTACGTTGCAACGTGCTTTCATACTGACTCGCTGACAGCCTGAAAACTGGTACTTTGCCGTCAAGACGTTAAAGAATGGTCAATCTGAGGCCGACTTCAAAAGAGAAGTAGCAACATTGCGAAGGCTGAGTGGGAATATCCATGACCATCTCATCTCCCTTCTGGGAACTTATGAAAAGGATGGTGCATTTCATCTCATTTTCCCTTGGGCAGAAGCTGATCTCTTTGACTTTTGGAAGCGGGATCAGAATGACCCCGCTCCTCCTTGTGACCAAAGGTCTTCAGACGAGAACCTTACTTGGGTTGCTCGACAATGTCTAGGACTCGCAGAAGGACTGGCATTCATTCACCGTTACGAAACCTCTTCAGGAAGGACATTGCGACACCCAACTTCGTTCCCTGTCCAACAGGCTGACAACAACATCACCTCCACCTCAAACACACCTCAAAAGCTCCTAAGTCTTTTTGGACGTCATGGCGACATAAAGCCCGAGAACATTCTTTGGTTTCCTGACGCCAAACCCTCCAGTCGCGAAGGAACGCCTGGAAATGGTATCCTGAAAATTTCCGACTTTGGGTTCGCGGAATTCAGCAGTAAAGAAATGGTTGATAAAGGCAGACGTGGTTTTGTGGCCGAATCACTCACGTATTCACCGCCTGAAAGCGTACTTGACACCGAATTGGTCAGTCCATCATATGACATCTGGTCTCTTGGATGCGTCTATTTAGAGTTCATCACGTGGTTCCTCGGCGGATGGAAGCGTGTTGTCGAGTTTGGTAATTTGCGCCTAGAAAAAAGCCAGATTCCGTCACCCTTTGACGGAGAAAATATCAGAGTCAGGACCGATGTTTTCTATGGCGTAACAATCGATAAGGAGGGGAAACGGGACGCCCACACCAAAGAGTCGGTGATCAAGGTACGAGATCTCGCCAGAACGCAAAATACATCCTAACGTAGTTTCAGTTCATCGGCAGATTGAAACAAGATTCGATCGATTGCCACTTTATTCCAGACTTTCTGGAGCTGATTGAAAAGAGCATGCTCGTAGTCGAGCGATCAACGAAGAATGCGACTGCCTCGCGCAAAAGTTCAAAGAACATTGGGCTTCTCATTGAGGAGATGTGGGGGACAGAATCGACGTCCGAGAAGGATTTAAAGACTATTCCGGAATAGCCATGTTCGCATCGGCATTATGTAATGCATTGGGATGTAATTATGAGGCCTGAAGAATATGTTCCAGCCAAGTCTTCGCACTCGACATACCTAAGTTTTGGGAATTTTGCTATTGCTAAAAGCGGAGTATCTTGGGAACTACATTCAGCTATCATTAGGTCGAAAAGATCTGGCGGGACTCTGTTAAGCGATTTGGGGCTGTGGACACCACGGATATTGCTCCAACATTGTAGATATTTGCTCAGGGCCAACAAGGTTGCGATGTCGCCGCATTGGTACATGGATGTCCCTGTCCCAAAAGGGCATTCGATCACGACGGCAAGCATTCCCAAAAATTTGGACTGAGAATAAGGTTGATCGAGCAATTGCATGCTGTCTCCAACGATGACGCATCTGCCCCTATCCATCCCCGTCACTCCTTTTTCATTCGCACGTTCCGTGACAAGCGATCGCCATTGGTCCCGCGTCTCACGCCCTGTCATCCCCGACAAGAGCCCCGCACCAACTCATCAACGGCCAAAGAGCAAGAAATGGACTTTATGCGTTGTTCTCCCAAGAAAATCCCATCGTCCAATCTTTTCGCCGCTTTCTTTCACGCTTGCTCCCGCCCCACGTCTCCTGGTCCCGCCACAACCTGCCAATTCCAAAAATGTCGTCGGCTAAGCCTGCCCCCGTGCGACTTGGCAGTGCTGGCTGGGCGGGGTGTTCGCCACAGGCGAGTTACAAAAATAACGGGCGTCGCGTTGCGAGTGTTCTCCTGAATAGCCACACCGCGTTTTGTTCTCTGTTTCTTTAATCTTCGTTAAAATTCTTCGGAGCGATCATAATGGCTGTCAAGTCGAGCATATTCATCACGGCAGTTCTGGCTGCCGTTAGCGACGCGGTCAGCCTGGGGAGCTTTGACTACAAGTCACTCAGTCTGAGAGAAGTCGGAGCACGCAACACTGAGGTATGGAATTCTCGAAAAATCAAGAAACCCACTCAAAATGCTAAATCCGATGCTGTACAGGATTGGAGGATATGGCTCACAAAAGACGGCGACCCAATTTCATTTTGGCACGACATTCCAACATGGCCGGATGAGAATGACAGGCAAATCATCAACGTCGTCATTGAGGTTCCTCGGTGGCAAGACGCCAAGATTGAGATGGCGAGGGATGAGCCAATGAGTAAGTCCTAACAAATATTGCATTGACCTCACGCTAATTGTTGTCACCTTCAAGACCCTATTCTTCACGACTCTCGGAATGGAAGCCCCAGATACGTTGAGAACGTGTGGCCTCACAAGTCGTACCCCTTTTTGTACGGTTCTATCCCTCAGACATGGGAAAGCCCCAACTTCAAGCATGAGTTCACCGGCTTGAATGGCGACAACGATCCTGTTGACCTGTTCGAGATTGGCCAAGAGTAAGAGGACACAAAATAAAACGTAGAAGTTGAGCTTGCTGACAGACTGCAGTCCTGGGTACACTGGCCAAGTGAAGCAAGTCAAGATTCTTGGCGGTCTTGCCTTGGCTGATGTAAGTCGCCACGCCCTCGAGCGCTGTCTCATCATATTGCTGACAATTCTCAGGGTAATGAGACTGATTGGAAGATCATGGGCATCGACATCAATGATCCCCTTGCTCCACTTCTCAACTGTAGGTATTGTAGAGTTGGGCTGAAACGTGCAAAGCTGACATTTCAAAGCCTGGGAGGACGTTGAAAAGTACCGCCCGGGGACTATCAAGACCTTCAGAGACTGGTGGACCGTACGTTGAAGCGTCTACATATACTGTTCAGAACACTAACATTAGTCGCAGTACTACAAGGTTGCCCGAGGCGACCCAGTCATCGATATCGTCGGCGACTGGTACCAGAACGTCACCTACATGCAAGATGTTCTCATCGACAGCCATCGCACCTGGGAAGAGTTGATCAATGGCCAAGTCGACTCGAATGAAATCAACTACAACCAGACTGCGGACTCCGATGTCGCCAAAAGCTACGTCAAAAAGAGCAAGACGACAAAGAAGTTCGACATTCCCAAGAAGAGCAAGATCAAGCCTGCAGCCGACAAGCCCGAGAAGTACAAGGGCTGGTGGTACATTGATAGCAACTACACCTTGCTCGAGGTACCTGAAGTGCAGCAATTTTCATTCAACCGGCAGTCGGCTTGACAATGGGAATTTTAAAAGGGTTCTTTGGCTCTGGATCAAACCTGGGCTTTAGGCTAGTCACAGCATTTCTAGGGGCTCAGCGTCTTTTGGGTTGGTAAAGGATAATGAATGGATTTAGACTTAGGCATGATAATGAAAATGAATACACGATATAGTTGGGCTTTACTTGGCATCGGAGGGCGATGAGTGAGGACACCACCTAGAAGTAAATATCGAAAAACCTTCTTTTTAGGAAAGAAGAGGCGGACGGCTCTTTCCTGGGTCCCTGCTTCCGCGTCCCTTCCACTTGACCTTCGGCGCCGGCAAACGGTTGGTGGCCCCACAAATCGGCAGCCCTACCCGCAAGCTTAATTCTGACTTTTTTCTCCCCGATGTAACTGAAACATTCCGAGTCTGTCCATCTCAACGTCGTCCGTCGCTGTCACTCGCTTCCCCACACGATTCCTATCGGCTTCGGTTGACGGCGTCGTTGCTTCTTGGCTCTTTCTTGGCAGGCATTATTTATCGCGGTTGGACCATCCATCGCCTCTCACTTCCGACGAACGGCAGCGCTAACAGCGGAGCAGCAGATCAGCCGTGGTCTGACTCGCCATCCTCATCTCCCCTCACTCCGGGCCGCTCACCTCATCCCGTCACGGCTGCGGTCATCCTCCGGCCTCCGGTAGCCAGCTCCGAAGATGGCGCTGGTGGAGGACCCGGGCGATATGGAGATGCGCATCGACGACGCTACCGTCCAGCTCAGCACCCACCGTCTGACGACGCCCTTCCCTGAATCAGTCATATCTATCACCCGCACCTCATCACCGAACACATCCAAGGAGCATCCTTCATCACCAGAGTTCACCCCGCGAGAGCTCATCGAGCAGGCAAAGGCCCGGAGAGAGCGCCAGAACGCCCGCGATTCCAGATGGGTTGAGCGCGAAAAGGCGAATCGTAGCAAGAGCCCCATCGCGCCCAAGAGAGCATCGACGGGCGGCATCGAGAAGAAGAGATCCAGCGGCAAATGGAAAGCTAGAGCCACCGATGCCAGGCTCTCATCGGAGCTCGATCGCCTCCTCGTCGGCGACAGCGGCTCATCTTCGCCAACCAGAGCCGCGGACCGTCATCCACACCCGCTCCGTGCCGTGCTCCACAGCTTGCCCGGCTTCACCTTCGACACTGAGCTCGACTCCATCAAGTTCCATAAGAGACAGCGCGTAGCGCTCGGGATTGAGGACCTCATGGCAGAGGGTGGCAAAGACGCCGCCAAGGTGTGGCTCGAGGAGTTTCTTCTCCTGACGTTCGAGACGAAGGCGAAGGTGCTGGAGCGCTATCCCATGTGCAAGGAGCTGGACGATGTCCCGCTGGGCTTCACAACAATGGCGAAAGACGTGGAGACAACTATCAACAGACTAGCGTACGACTCGGCACTCAAGGTCCGCCGGGCTATGGAGCGGCGGCTCTGTCAGCCGTACGACATGCGCAAGCTGGTCGAGTGGACCATCAAAGCACGCTGGCGCTTCATCGAAACGAAGCCCAAGATAGTGCCTGGCTTTGGGGCGTTTGGTCAGATGTGCAGCGAAGAAGGAACGCCTCTGGAGAAGCGTCTGTGGGCAGTGATTGATGCTAGAGGAATTGGCATGCCTAGATCGCATGCCGGTTGAGGATGACAGCGGTTGCAACGCGATGATGAACATGCATTACGATTATGGCGTATGGGAGACATAGGTCATGCGAGGTGGCCCGGGGACTTTGGAGTTTAGAGGTTGCAAGTAGACATGAATGTGTATTCCTCAGCGATTCCTTCTACTTCTGAGCAGACTCGTGACTCGGTATTCTCGCCTTCTCGACTTCCCCCAGACCCCCCGAAACCTTCTTGGCAACGCATCGGCCAGGGTGCCACACCGCGAAGAGTATCACAGCCAACACCACTGGCGCAAACTCAAGCACGCCGAAAAAGACCTCGTTCGAGTACAGGTGCCCTCCCAAGCCCTCCGCAGTCTCCGCGAGACGAAAGCAGGTACGCAGGTACACAAGCAGCGTCGCCGCCGAAAATGCCGCCACAAAGACCGTGAGCCGGTGATCCCTGATCACATGCCTGGCCCTGAAGAGGAAAATGCCGGTAGTGACCACAAAGCACCCGATCGAAAACACCTGATACGCCAACCCACCCAACAAAATATTATTCGCCGTCGTCGGGTCCTCGCGGCGCGACTGCTTCACCCCAATCAGCGCAGCGCCCGAGATCTGCGTAATCGTCGCAATCACGTCCGACGTGATGAAGAACCACAACACGACCTTGGGCGGGAGCGGCGAGAAGGCGCGGCCGAGGCGGTGGATGAGCGCCGAGAAGATGGTGTAGATGCCCGCGGCGAGGAAGACCGGCGCGGTGACGATGAAGAAGTAGTTGAGGATGAAGTAAACGAGGTTGTAGGGGTTCTTCTTGGCGGAGAGCGAGCGCGCGACGTAGCCGACGATTTCGAAGAGGAGGCCGACGGGGAAGGTGGCGAAGTACCAGCTGCGATGGCGGACGAGTTGCGCGGTGTGGATGAGGAGGAGGATGAAGAAGAGGGCGGCTGCGAGGCCGGCGAGGGCGATGGATGGGGTGTAGCCGTAAATGATCACGGGCGTGTCCCATTCGCCTGTTGGCGGGGGGAAGTTTGGGTCGGTGTACCCGAAGGATCCTGAAAAGCTATTAGATGGGATGTAGTTGAAGCATTGAAAATTACTTACCTCTTTGTGAACTCATTGCCACTGGATTATCAGGAGCTGCCTAATAGCGCTGGTGCGTTGGTGGTGTGAGCAAGGATGGAGCTTAAAGGTGGTGAAGATGCGGGCAAAGGCTTTGGTATATATCGTGGTCCCGGCCAGAAACCAGGGTCTGCAACACAATCAGACATATCAATGATGAACGATCTTCCCAGAGCGGACACATAGACGCAGATCGAGAAACAGGGTTCGGGGCGGACTTGACAGTTTGGGGGCCACCTCGTCCGCGTGGGTGTTCGTCCCTTGACGCGCGTGGGAGTGGATACCGACGGCCTGGCACTTCGCATGCACCATCGAACCTAGCCCCCAGCCGTTCAGACGCCCAATGAAGCTGCAACTTAATACGGACCACACCTCCATTCTGGATGTCAACAATAATATCCCGAGTGCTATGGGGCGCCGCTCATACTTCCCATCGAGATCCATGCACGAAGCTGTTGTTCAATGGCCCCTGATATGCGTACGGCTGAAGTCTATGATTCATCATTCCACGTGTCTCGACAGTTTCAAGCCACTTCTGCGCTTATTTTGACATGCCTGCATGAGGGCGACCATGCCATGTTGGGAAGTGACAGGTGCAGCAACCCTAGCTGTTCTAACCTGAAGCATTCGTTCTCGGCCGATACCTGTCAATGTCTTTGCGGCTTTATCATCCGTCACCTTCCTCCTATATCAAATTGGAAGTTGGGTCCTAATGAGGCACTGATGCAATGATGGTTTGAGCACCGCGAAAGTCTTGTAGACAATACTCAACGCTTTGTGGAAAGGATGACGACGACAGCATCTGTCTCCGTCTCGTTGCATCCCACTCAATGGCGCTCTCCCGAATTACTTACCGTTTTCGTGCTCCTGTCCGGCCGCTACCTCGCACCTCGGCATTGCCAAGAAGTCCGAGGTCCGGGGTTTTGTGGGGCGGTCGTCCGACACGGCCACGGCAACGTCGATGATAGTACACGGGCTCGATGGCCCGGATGTTTGCTGCAGAATTTGAATATTTTCCAAATGAACAAGTACCGCTCAATCTTTGGATGAATATCGTGGCTAGGTTTGTTGCGAAGAAGATCAGTCGAAATCTTCAGACCCACCTGCTGTTGCTGTGGGTTGTGAGACACCTCGTCCTCAATGGCATACAGCGTCTTTGATATCTTCGTCGGGTTTCATGTTTGCCCAACATAAGCTTCTACCGTCGGATTGGATTATGAGACAAATTGACTTGAATTATACGAGTAAAACGTGCTACGTCTCCCCTTGCAGTCAAAATTGCCCTTCATCTCATTCCATGGTCGAGAACTGTTTGAACATCGCACAGTTGAGATGAACTTTTTAATCTGGCAAGCATTGTTGGCACTAACATCGTCTGCAAAGTCTGCATATTAGACCCATTAAGAGTAAGTAAGCTCAAGTATATATTAATCTTTCGATTGCCACACTCCCTACCTGGGCGCGAAAACGCACGCAGAACTTAGAGAGGATATTGCTGCGTTCCCTGCAGCCCGCTCAGCCACATGTGGCGTCTAAAACTCCTTACCGATGAGAATTATCTTTCATCATTCGGAAGTCAGAACGGTAGTAAGCCCTAAGCCATCTTGGGATTCGGTGGCTTGATAGGCAAAAGCGAAATATCTCAAAGCTTATTTCAGCCAATGAGGTGACTCGCGGGAGTTTACGTGGGGTCGATTTCACAACATCGAGCGCGCTCTGGTGTCTGTGTCGGTAGACATCACAACGTTGTGGTTCAGTTTTGTTTTCATCTCATATGCTCCATGACGATTGATTATCGGCTCCAATTTCAAGGATGTCTCCAAAGCGCAAGGTGCTTATGCTCACCAACTCTGAGTATGGTCAAGCCAACATCTTCCTGGCGACATGCCACGCGTTGATGGGCACAGCCCCAGACGTCGAGATCCATCTGGCGTCCTTCGCACCGATCAGGACTGCAGTAGCTGCTGCCTCTGAAGCCGGCATAAAAGCCCATCCGAACGCCAGCTCGATCGAGTTTCATGAGATTCGCGGTACGCATTATTTCAAGGCCTTGCTCTCACCTGAGGTTGGTGGCAGACGATTACTTGAGATTGCGCCGAGCGTCCGGACAATGCCCACTGTCTTGCAAATCATCGCTCGGGCAGCCATGCCGTACACCGGGCCGGAAATGGTGGAGAACTGCAATGAAATCCGGCGGATCATTGAAGAGGTGGAGCCGGATCTGACTCTGGTGGATAACATGTTTACACCGGGGTTGACGATGGCTCGACATATGGGCATCAAGTGGATGATCCTGTCACCCAACACACTTAAGGACCTTGCATTGCCGTTGCAACCCAAGGCAGCTTTCTTCTGGAAGTATCCATGGTATGAGACAGCCTCGCCCCAATCTGCAAGAAACGCTGTCTGATTGATGATAGTGTTGGGACTGCTCTCCCGTTCCCAATTCCATGGCACCTCATCCCACTGAACGTACTATACGTCTTCATTCTCATATTCTTCATGATATTCAACAGTGATGCGCGCAGGGCACGGGATCATGTGACCGAGAAGATCGGAGCTAGGATCTTTGATCAGCAAGAGTTCGGTAATCCGCAGCCAAAGTTGAAGATGCTTATGGCGAGCAGCCCAGAGTTCGACTTCCCGGTTGAACTCAAGCCGGATAACATCATCCCCTGTGGCCCTATCATGCGACCAGTCCCAGCAGTCGAGGAAGTCGATCCGGAACTGCATACCTGGCTCGCTCGAGGACCGACTGTGTTCATCAATCTCGGGACTTTATCTTGGACCACGGAAGACCAGGCTGTTGAAATGGCACAAGCCTTACGTTCGCTCCTCGCTGGTTGGCGTGAGAAGGGTGAAGACGGAAGGCTTCAGGTCCTATGGAAGTTGAAGCAGACCACAGACGGGCATATCGAGTACGACATACACGAGAAGGGCTGTCGTCTTGAGAGAATCCTGGGGAGCGAGTTTGACAATGACACTGTCAGAGTTGTAAAATGGGTAGAGGCCGAGCCGTATGCAGTTTTGCGAACGGGAAACATCATTTGCTCGGTCAACCACGGCGGAGCGAACTCATTTTGGGAAGCACTTTGGTGAGAGACCGCAAAGATCCAAGTTTTCGCAGAGAGCAGTAAAGCTGACATGTAACGATGAAGCACTGGTGTTCCTCAGGTTGTACTACCTGTGTGGGCGGATACCTATGACTTTGCTCAAAGGGTTGAGTATCTAGGTATCGGAAAATGGGGCAGTCCGACTACAGCGCCGAGATACCGAGCCGAGGAGCTTGGTGATGCGCTGACACAGGTGATCACCGGTCGTAGTGCTAGAAAGTTCCAACTACGATCAAAAGAGCTTGCAAAGCAGAGAATTCAGTTGGGAGAGGGTCGAGACGTGGTTGCGAGGCATATTGTTGAAAACATCTAGGTCTTTTTAAAAGCAGACATAGGTGAGTAATTCATTGTGAGTTTGCTATCTCCAACACATTCGCTTCTCAGTGGCCACGTTTGGTTGATGTGAAAAACAATTTGGTTGGTAGAGTCGAAGTGTAAATCAAATAGCGTTTCAAATTATCTGAAAAGATTCACTGACATTGTGATTTGTCAACCGAAGACACCATACATCGGCCTGCCTTCCTCACGAAGGTGGTTGAGTGTGGTTTCAAGCAACTTGCGCAACATAGAGATTGGAAAGAAATCCCCGCCAAATTCCCATACCATCTCAGCTTCTCTCCCTACTAACCCTGTATTTGTCACTGCTCTGTTCGTTTGCCTTCCCTCTGCACTGGGCGCGTTGATCAGGACGTAAAACCTCGTATCTTGCTGGCTTCTGTTAAGATTGCCTGTTTCCAGTGGGCAATGGCCTGCCTTCATACAAAACCGTCAACAGACGTGAAACGCCTACTAGGACTGAG